CTCTTTCAGAATGTAACGCCTTAAAAGAGATTTAAGTTAATAAAAGTATAAAATTTCCAAGTTTCTAATAGCTGTTTTATCAGACACTAACGAATCGTTCACTTAATATACAAAATTTCTTTGAAAGGGGTTGTTTTCACAGACATGTAGATGAGAAGAGGTAAATTTACTTAAAATCTACGAAGACGGTGGGCAAATGACATGTGAAATCGATGCAGTCATGTTCCAGACGAAATCGCGAGCTATGATAACGTGCACGTATGGATCATCGGAGATGCAGTTTTGTTCATCTTTGTTAGTAATGACATAAGGGAGCGAAACGAGGGTGGTTCTTTCGTTTTATGAGTAAATTTGACAACGCGCATGCCTGTTATCGATCGCTAATCACTATGGTTACGCCTCGGTATAGAAGCACGACGGCGACTACGACGGCGACGACGACGACGGCGACGACGACGACGACGACGACGACGACGACGGCGACAACGACGGTGACAGCGATCACCCTGCATTTCCTCCACGGTGAGTTAAAAGAAAAATTCATGAAAGCTCGGATTAAGTGTGGTCGATGAATCATAAAAAGCGTACGATAGTGATGAAAGTGAAGAATTTAAGCCGGTACAGGAAAGTGTACGTAAGATGAACGAAGCGAGAGAAAAGGGTGAAGGCGTGAATCATTTTAAGTAGAAACATCCTGATCCCCGTACGACACCTCCTGTTTACTCACCGAAAAAAACAAAAAGTGGGGAGAAACGGAATCGACAAGTAGACAGACATCAGAAGGGTGAAAAAGGGTGAGAGACAGGTAAACTGAGAAAGTAAGAGAGAGAGAGAAAGAAAGAGCAGGGGGAAGAGAAAAAGAGAGATAGAGAGAGAGAAAGATAAAAAGGAATAGAATTTGCGGGGTGGCGGGAGTGGTATGACAAAAGAGGAAAAAATCGGAAGAATGAAGGAGCAGGTGAGGAGGGGACGCGGAGAGGAAACGGGGGTGGATCGTGGGGGATGGAAAACGCATACAGGGCTGTGCAGAGTAACATGGAGCGCATCGCGGGCGCAGCGAGAGAGGATATTGACATTTTCGGTCGAGGGGCGCGCATTCGTAGAAGAAGGGGTGGTAGGTGACGGGGCAGTCGCCTCTTTTGCCCGATCCTGCAGTATCCATGGCTACGTCGTCCGCGAGGATTTCGCGCGAAATACCGGGAATTTCGGGCGCGTAATCATTCCTTTCGTATACTCCGTCAGTGAATTGTCAGGTGTTTTAGATTACCACTTAACGACGTCGCTCCCCGGATAGACCGTCGCCTGTTGTTCGACCAGCGATCGGTCGCGAATTATATTTGCTTTCGGAAAGGGTGGATACCGTGATCTCACGCCCCTCTACTACGACCACGGTAGCCCATCCCTTCTTTGATCCCGTCTCGAACCCCTTCCTACCCACCCGTTTATCATCCCATCTCTTACTACTCCACACACACCCTCTCTTCTCTCTACCACTCCCTTCTGTGCTCTCTCCTCTCTTCGCCTGTCTCTTTTCTTCCTCACCGTTTCATTCTGCTTCCGCCTACTTTTACCGTGTTACTCCAACAAAGAACAGGGTAGAAACGTTCAACGCCTTAAATCTATCGAGACAATATCCTCCTCCACTGTGGCGAAGATATCGCCGATGGTGAGTTTTACTCCCTCAGCTTCGTCTAACGACAAAGTCGGAAACATGCGAACGTACAAATCCAGTAGGCGGTGAACGGGCGAACGGGAGAAGATACGTGTAAATGGGCTGGGAAACAGAGTGGGGTGATTGATAGAAAATCGTGAAAGGGAGAAAGACGAAAAACCGTAAGATAAAGTGCATCGAAGGGTATTCAGAGAAGCGGAAAACGTTGAAAGTGTTTTCGAACGAAAGTATTTCTCTGCCCGAAAGGCGGAAAGCAAAGGGCGTAGATTGAGTATCGTACGGCGGGTGGTGCATCCAGGCTGGTGCAGTGTTTACTCGAGCGCTTTCGACTAGGCGGTGTCGGTATTTCCTCGTTTCGATAACGCAACTACAGTGACATGTGCCGTTCATCAGTAATTGCGTAACGATCGTTAACAAAATTTCCGAACGATCGGGTTCGCATCTATTTCTTGCAATGGCTCGGAATCAAGCTACAGTGTTCGATACGTATTGTTGTCTATTTCTATGATCACGCCTATTGTGTTTGTCGATTTAATTAATACATAACTTCTCAAGTATATTCTTATTATTACTTTTTTTTTTTAAATAATCGGGTACATGCTGAGTGCTTGTCGGTAATAGATTTTCAAAGAATTGTAGCCTGCCGTTTCGTTGTTAAGCTGAGGATAACGGTGTTAGTGCGATCTGACAGTGAACAGCGTCGAAGTAGAAAAACGTTCGAACGAGAAATAGTGAGCATAAATATCGTAGAGCGATGTGTATAATGTAGGTGAAAAGTCGGCATCAGTTCAGTAACCCTCAACGGCGACGCCACCCCTATTATTATCCGTGACACGTCCACGCAACACTTTGCTCCGCTTCATTGACCTCAGTAATGTCTGTGACATCGTATGACATCGCAATTATTGTTTTCAGTTATCAAAATAATTAGTAGTCGTAGAAAAAATGGGCTCGTCGAAGAATAAGCTCATAGGATAAACGTTCGCACCCTTATTTTCTTTTCTTTTACTCTCGTAACGAAAAGATGACGAAAAGAAAATATGTATAGCACAAAAAATACTGATGATACACTAAATTAACGTAATGCAATTGTTATATTTTCAGCGATCATGTCAGGGACAAGCTGATGAACTTTCGAACACCTGCAATGATGTGACAATAAAGATATCTTCTCCTACACCCTTTCTCATATCGCGGGGTATTGTCCCTGTTATACAGTGCTTCCCAGAATAAAACAAGAGAATGATACAAATATAATCATTGGTGACATCGGTGATTAATTAAAAAAGAGGTGCCAAACGTCAACAGACGAGCCAATCAAAGTGGATACACATCTTGATATTTCGCTAAACATCGACAATTATTAAGGAATAAGGAAGAAATCTCAGAACAAGCAACAAGAAATTGACCACTGACCGCAAAACGCACAGAACATAACGAATTCGAGTTCAATAAGGAAAAGAAAATTGATTAAGGATAGAAAAGGTGATTGCTGTTGAAAAGACAGAGAGAGAGAGAGAGAGAGAGAGAGAGAGAGAGAGAGAGAGAATATAAGAAGGTAAAGATCGGTAAGAGGTGGCGTGAAGTAAAAGGAAAAACACAGGTGGTATAAGACAGTAACAAGAATAGAATGGGCAATAAGCTGTCTTGCAGTTGTGCTCCTCTAATAAAAAAAGCGTATCGTTACGAGGATTCACATTCACCATGGCAGGCTGGAGCGAGGAACGCAATAGGCGGAAGCGGAGGTCGCAGGGGTGACACTGCCCACTTGCTCAGGTGCGGAAGCTTAAGAGAAAGGAAGAGGTGCGCATACCATACCATTCAACCATTCAACCACTTCCATTTCACTCCATTAACCAGTCTCTACTTTTCAGGAAGGCTATTTCTATTTGTATACAAAATACACGAAGGGGAGGGTTATCGAATTGGAACCGATTATTTGCACAGTGGAACCTTGGTTCTCGAACTTAATTTATTCCGAAAGACTGTTGGAAAACCGATATGTTTAACGTGACATTCCTCCACCATAGCTCGCGAAGTACGCGTTTGCATGTTCGAGAACAGGGGTTTCATTGTAATTAGACTGCGGACGTTTATGCATTCATAATTACATCGAAATATGTGAATAAAATTTCCGGAACACCTAAGCATGATATTATGACTGTATAAAGAAGTACACTGACATATACATGTATAAAGAGTATAATAACGGAATCATTATTGTGCATTTGCATAAATATCCGCAGTTTACTCATAGCTAATACGATACATTAGATCAATGTGTTAATTATCCTTAAAAAGGAAGACACTTCTTTGTAACGTTTTGCATAGCTATTCTAGCTCGATTTTAGAATGCAGTTATGTAAAATGTCGTCAAATAGTTTCTTTTTAAAGAGAAAATCCGGGGATGAGTTCAGATTCGATAACTTTACTCTACACTCGCACACATTTACACTGAATGCACTATGACTTTTTTCTTTCTCCCTCAGGTAGAACGCATTCATTTAAAATCGTTTGCCCGTATGTTGTTCCCTTGCAGTGATTAATCGAATCTCATTTTTCTTGAGGATCTTTCTGCTCTTAATAGAATATAGATGTTACCTTGAAAACTACCGAAAATATTTTTATTGACTATTTCCGTTGTGTAGACTTCTTTCAACAATTATTAATTTTACTAATAAAACAATACAAATGTTGTCATCGATTTCAAGATAACTCATAATCAGTGATAGCTGGTTTGGTTCTTCCTTCCGGTTGTATTTTCATTTCACTTGGTAATGTGCATATATTTTCCTTGTATTAATGTATTACATGTACGTACATGTATGTGTTCAATGAAAAACCACATAGTCTTATTCTTCAGAATCCCAAGTATATTTGTTTTCGTTTACTTCTAACTACTTTACATTAACAAAAAATTAATTAACTTTTAATTACTAGAGCATAAAGTTCAAACATTTTAATTGCTCTACCTATTTTTTATTTTTTCTTTTCATTTATTTTATTCATTTAATGCAGACGTTATATTTGTCTCTTCTTTTATTTCTTCGACACGCACACACTTGTATTTACATTCATCCACGCGTTTAGTCTAATAACTTTCTCTTCCTCTCTCTCTCTCTATTCTGACTTAATTTTCTCACTATCACGTATTCCACTTTGTCTATCCTAGATCTTCCATCATTTATACACATTTCTTTGTATCTTATCCACCCATGCGTATCTTGCTTGCATGCTAATTCTTGTATTGCTAAACTATAAAATTATTGCATGCACATTGTAATTTACTAAATTACTGGTATATTCTCTATCTTGCTTTTTGAAAAGAAGATTATGAAATATGACGATAATAACATTATCGATAAAATATAAATGCAATTTATCTAAAGCGCTAATACTTTGATACTGAATACATATCTACTTAAGAATTAATTGAAAATTAAGATTAATTTCAGACAATGAAAATGAGAATAGATAAGTGCAAAAAAATAGCTGTACTGAATAGATATAAATTTTTTTGCGTATACACGTGATATTTCCCTGTTCGTATTGTTATCTGTATCTACATAAACATAATATTTTACTAAAAGAAAATAAAAGACAGAAGAAGATTGAGAATAGCCTTTGCTATACGGGAAATATACTTTTTAAACAATTCTGTTTCACTGTTAGCTTCTTTATGAAATCCATATTTCAATGCAGAACGAACGTATTTGCCAGAATAATATAACAATTCAATAATGAAAATTTTTAGATTATGGGCTGAGGTATTCCATGTAAGTGCTAGTGGGGCAGGGACCGTGAAATGGCAGCAGGTCTCCGAGGATTTAGTTCCTGTAAATATCTCGTGCATCCAAGATTCACCGGAATGCATTTTCCATATTACAGCGTACAATAGTCAAGTCGATAAAATTTTAGATGTTCGATTAGTTCAACCAGGTGAGGGACGAAACGATAAAAAACTAATCGAAAGATTTGTCAAGAGTTGATCTATCTTATACGCGTTAATTACATTCTAGGTACGCGTATCGGACAAGCATCGGAGTGTTTCGTGTACTGGAAAGACACGATGACCAACGATACGTGGGGATTGAATTTTACTTCCCCGATAGATGCTAAGCAATTCAGAGAATGTTGCGTAAGTTTATAATAATGCAACAACTACATAGTCTCTTCTATCATGCGCATGAAACTTTCCAACGTACCTCGCTTTATCTATACATATTTCATTAAGTTGACGGAAAAACAATGTTTATTATGTTAATATTAATTTTAAAATACTCTTGGACGCAATTTATTGAACGTATTGATTATGAATGTGTTGAAATTCTCTTTTCCTATTTTCAATTAACGAGCTTCTTTTTATGAAGCTGATAAACGTTATGCGTCCATGAAAACGACATTATTTTTCCATCAGCCGAATAGAAATGTGAAACGATGAGTTTATGCATATCATCTCAGAAAGAGTGATCGAATATGTAAGTGTCGATACAATTTGAGTGATAGTCGGTGTCTTTTAGATCGGGCGCTCGTAACACAAAAAATGGAACAATTTTTTACAGTCTGCCGTTGATAGGGGAAATATTTACAGCCACAAGCTGTAGATAGATGTACCTAAAAATCTTCGTTACGTGTTAATGCATACTTAAACATTAACTTTAGTTAGCAAAAAGAAAGTAGTTTCTTGAAACAACTTTTTACAGTCTGCACGGCAACGGCACGGTTCGGTGCCGGACCATGCCGTTTTGCCGTGCTGTTGCCGTGCCGTGCAGACTGTAAAAAATTGTTTCAAGAAACTACTTTCTTTCTGCTAACTTAAGTTAATGTTTAAATATGCATTAACACGTAACGAAGATTTTTAGGTACATCTATCTACAGCTTGTGGCTGTAAATATTTCCCCTATCAATGGCAGACTGTAAAAAATTGTTCCATTTTTTGTATTACGAGCGCCTGGTCTATTTCTCTTCAACGCTTTTGTCTATTTCGTTTCTCGATACTGGGGTTAACTGAGAAATGGACTTCATGGGACTCGAGTCATTTGCAGTCATTAGTTAATTTTTCGTACAGTCACCGTCGTTCAAGATTTCAAGGAAAGCGTCCTCTTCTTACTCGTTGAAGCTCGAACCACCTAACAAACAAAAGATCAAAACACGGAGAAAGCCCTTATCGACGCCGGCGTCACCGAGTAGGTCCAGAGAGCCTCAGTGCACGTGCATGACTCCGGAACAATTCGCCAGATTTCGAAGTCAAGAAGCCAGATACCGAGGCTTTTGCAGTACGTATGATATCTTATGGTAAAGTCGGTTAAAACCGGGTCGATGAAAACTACACAGCGGATTTTATGCATTTATAAGAAAATTGAATAAGTATTGTGCAATGGATAAAACTGTTTGGAATATCAAAAAAGATAAAAGAAATTTTTATTTAAAAATATGATACATCAAATATTTATATAAATATCTAAATATTTTTATGTAATGGAAATTTTTATCTAGGATTTTTTTATCTTAAATATTCTATTTCGTCTAAAGATCGATAGGCTAATGATAACAAATGTAATATGACGATTCGATTAAGCAAAGTGTCTCTCTGGTGTTCTGAACAAGACGATTTTTCATAGCACAAAATATGTATTAGACGCCTGGTTTCAATCTACTTTTTTCCATATACATCAAACTATGGTTTATCATATAAATAGCAGCGTGCATCAAAGCGCTGATGTGTATGCATCAAAGTATACGTTATCATACAAATGATGATGTGCAGCTACTTCTACACTTCCTCGAACTATGGCCCGATCCACGGAGGTGGAAATGACACCGGGACGTGACAAAATAACTACGGCAACATCGAGTGCGTCTCTCTACGATAACGTTAACAACACGAGCGCGACGCCGGGTAAGACACCGAAAGCTGGTGAATCGAAGCAAAAGGAGAAACAGAATGAGACGTGTCAGACAACACCGAAGACCGCGAACGTGGGCATTGAAACTGTCACTGTTGGATCGCAGGTAAATCTTAACTTATATTACTTAAAATACCTAACACTTGTAAAGACGGTATAAATTTTAATTTCCTCTTCATATGAGAAGGAAGAGAAGAGAATTTTCNCGTTAGGATTCTTTATAAGATTCCGCAGACATCGTATAATCGAAGTTTTCTGATTTGTATTTTAGATCGATAGTCCGGAGGAAAAGGACGTCGCTGTCTCTCCAAAAAGATCGCAAAAGCAAAGCCAAGATTTATCCACTCAACAGAACGGCACCGAGATGCTTAAGTCGGAGGGCACCCAAGCCGGTGGCACGTTGCAAAACAAATCATTGCGAAAGGAGCAATTACATCACACGAAGTCTGCCGATTACACGGACCTGGAGATGCAAAACGGCAATATTTTCAATATAGTGAATAATAATCACAGCGGGAAGAAATCAAAGAGCAAGAGCACCGATGACATGAGGATCGAGAATGCGCAAAACGGTGGGATTAGCTTAGATTCGAATACACTGAAACGAATGCTGAAACCAATGTCGAGTATCGATAGTCCCGTAACATCGCCCGAGATGACCAGAAAGAGGCATAGCCATCATAGTTATCATTATCATCCGAGCAATAACAATCAGAAGTACGTTATGCAAGAGACTGAAAACGAAAATTACGCGCATCCATATCGAGCACCATATAGTAACAAGTTCCAGGCATCTAGAAGCGTGCATGACATGGGACGCCAATACACTGGTACATACAATTCCATATGACAATTCCATATACTATACGTGTGTTTAACGTTCCCCCAATTTCGAATTTCATAATTTTCATAGCTTTTTGGTATGATCGATTTTAACTTTTCTTACTTGACTCGATTCACTTACGACTTACATCAAACTTTACCGAAGCACTTTTCACAAATATGTGTACAATATGTTAAGTCGTACTGGATAAAAGTGATTCCATAAAATCTTTAAACTTAATACATATTCAGTGAAAGTTAAAAAGTTTCATCTTGGAATATTTGGAGAATTAGAGATAACAGAAATAACTACTTGCTTTTCCTCTTAAAGGAGAATGTAACAATTTGACAATATCATCTGGTACGACTTACTGTGTACGAAACGCGAGACGACAGCTGCTCTTTTCATCACGTACTGTCTTTTTTCTTCGTCATTGCTACTTTACTTTCTTTTCTTACCGTTTGCTATCAAATTCAATAGTGTGCAATTATTAATTACAATTATACTCAATGCAGAGAGAAGGAAGAAAGAAAATAAATCAAGTTTAAATGTGTGCGCGCGTGTGTATAAGCATCCCTGTTTTGAAATCGAAAGTTTCATGCCAATTAATTTATTCCCAAGAAGAGTAATTCAAAATGAAAATTTTATTCTAAAGAAAAGTAATCTAAAATTATACGATATTAGATAATGATTTCGTTTCTCACTTGATGAAATTCGGAATATGACGATAAAGTTCCCGGATTGACGCTTAACGACAGTTCTAACAATTTTAAATTCGCGTTTACGACATACATATACACACACCTCTGTAAGCAAAAATAGCAACAGCAAATTCGGATTTTATACATGTAGCTAAAAAAAGTATATAATCCAAAGTAATCATTCGTCTTGCTCACGAGATCTGACTTTGCGCACATTTAAAGAAGAATAAAGGGTGCTTTAAATATAACAGCTTCGTGTCTATCAATCACTACACGAACAGCTGATTGAAACGAGCCATTCAAGGTACTTACAGAAATATGTAACACGACGTTAACTTGAACTACTCTGAAACTGTTAGAACTCGCGACACAGAGACAATTCGGGAACTTTACTACTGGACCATGGTATATCCATCATCCATAATAATTATGAACGAGTTGTCGCTAGTGGTGTTGACGGTTTAAAGAGCGTTTAAAAAAAGGAAGGACTACATACTCTATAAATAAATGAATGGGGTGCGTAACTGATTAAACAGGGATGCATGGCGCATGTCAACACACATCACGTCGGACCGAGCTGACCGCAACAAAGTAACGATTCTTTACATCCGACAGCTGAATACAATCATCACACCGTTTCCAATTCCTGCATGAAGCACCTGTTTGTCGTAGGCGGCAGAGGCAGGACCTATTTAGATTCGGAACGTAATCGGTGCACAGGTGATATGTCGCCGCCGTCGGATAATGTAATCTTCGATAATCAGTGTTACGCGACCACGCCGAGTTCGTCGAATGGGAATTCGGACATGGAACAGCCGACTCACTGTAATTCGCGTCGTTGCAATATAAACGGACAGAATTATCAACAACAGAACATGCAAATGCAATCGGTATCGACGCCTGGCAGCCCGACCAGCAGGTTGTTGCTCGAATACGAGATGCACCTGAGGAACACGTTGGCCAAGGGTATGGATGCTGAGAGCTATAGTCTACGTACGTTCGAGGCACTTCTCACGCAGAGCATGGAAAATTTGGGTGAGTGAAGTCATAATGTCTCATAAATACGGTGTCTGAAGGAAATGTTCATACTCGCGTTGATTCAGTTAACTCAATTCTTCGATATTTTCTGAGCCTCAGTTGAAAGATACATACGTTAATAAATGAAAAGGGATCAGATTTATGCGCTGTTTAATTTAATTTACATTAATTCACCAATTTCGTTTCAAGATTTAGTCGATATGTTAGTGAAGATTTATTCGTATAAAAAAACAAATTAGATTTTTTATAAACGATTATAAGTGGGTGTCACCTTTGTGTTGCTGTGAGAAAAAGTCAAAGGTAATTTCAATTAAATACCTGCAACGTAAGAATAATGTTTTCAGACACCGTACATCCTTCGATAATCCTGCTTCTCTTGATTATGATGAATTAAAGGGAGCATTAATTTTTCAGAATTCGCCGAGAATATACCGTTAAACATTCAACGCACACCCCATGTTTCACGAAGACGTAAGTTTCATTTCTTAAAATATAATTGACTTTTCAACGCCCAACCTTGACCCTCAACCCATGACCTGACCTTTCGATCGTACCGCACCACTGGTATTTCATAATACATTCATATTGAATTCTGTGTGTCGGTATTTTTACAGGTTCTAATTCTAACAAGTCGTCTACATTGCCACTATCATATCGTTACAACAACGAGAGACAAAACAGCAAAGACAGAGATGGATACTATAGCGATCGAAATGAAATGATCAGAGAGAAGAGGGACAGAGACATCGACCGAGATCGCGGATATCTCAGTGATTATAATTCTAGGTAATTAATAATTTCATCTCTTCCGTCATCTAATTAAATGGTACGCAGTAATTTTGCATTTCTAAGTACACCAAGACCGCACTCACTTTCTGCAGTTGAAAATGTAATACTACATGTTAGATATTGAATAAATGTAAGCAGAAATCAATTCAGTCTGAGAGAGTGAAATCAAGTTAGACATTGACAGAAGAGCCATCAAATTTGCCCGGTTCTCTTTTTAATGAACGTGCTAATTCCGAGATGACGTTAACCGTTGAAGATGTGCCAGCTGTGTCGGGGAATCTGCACGCGCGCAATGGTTTCGACATTCTGACGGGTGGCAATCCGGCAGCTCGACACTTGGCTCCGGTGCTTCCAGTTCAATGAATCCCAGTTACAGCGGACACAAACGGGACTCTCCGTGGGATTCTCTACCGTCATTGAGACACGAGGGTAGCCTCAACGACAGCGGATACAAATCGAATCGAACCGATTCTTTGGAACAAAGGTGATTAACTCGTACGAAGTCAATACTTCACGCATAATCATAAATATGTTACCCCCAATTATACGTATGACAGTAAGATGGCATATGATATAACTCAATTTCGAAAGTAGACTTATCCATCTGCAAACCAACACCTCCTTATATAGAATATCAAGAATAGGATATTGCGTTTTCTTTTTTTTTTTGTTGGACAACTAAATAATAACTACTAGTTATTAAATTTTTTAATTGAAAACATATCATCGAGATTTAACGCCTTGTGTGCCTTTTTTTATTTTTCAGGGGCACTTTCGACAGACAGGACAGCGTAAGGTCGGATTACATGTCCGACAGGGACGGTAGATACGGAATTGTTCAACAAGCTTCCCTGGAGAGCACAGACTCGAGACTTTGCTACTTAACGTCCTCAGAGGTGAGTACTTCCAAGTAGCTGTTGACCTTATCATCCGATATATCAATATCCCACTTCGGCTACTGGCTACTACTTCACTTAGCCGAATTTTCTGAGAAGATATTTTATAAGGGTATTCATATTCTTAAAAGGTTTCGCGAATAACCAATGTGAGAATGTAAAAGATCGAGTTGAATTTTTTAGAAGATCGATGGAAAGTAGATATTAATCTAAAATATTGTATTTTCTTTTAAGATTAACTATGATCATTTGACGGTGTCGAGAAAACATGATTCTTTGTTAAATTTTCTTAAATCCAACTAATTGTAAACCGAAGAGTGATTCCATTTTTCTATATAAATTACGTTAGAAAATAATTAAAAATTCTTGAAAGATTTTTTTCTCTATTTCTCGAGTTATCTATACAAGTGAATTTAACCCGTTTATACTAACAATTCGATTATAAAGTAAAAGTGACAAAAAACTGCGCGCAAATGAATATGTATGTATGTATACAAACGGGTGGCTATCGATATTGCAAGAACTGCATACTGCACGTATCTATTCGACAAACGTCGATAACCTACTGACCCTGCCCACGCACGTCTTGCATGGATCACCTGTCTTGAATTTGATACACAGCATCATCCCTTATTTTAAAACACGTCACTCCTATCATCACTATACATCGTTGATATACGGGAAACGACTGGGAAACGAATGAATGGAAGTTCATTTGAATACATTGAGAACCATAATATTATGACAGATGCGTGTGTGGTCAAATAAAGTTTATTTGAATGCGAAAAGACTCTGTCCTTGTCAACAGGTGCATGCGCAATAATGAGAGCAGTCGCATTTTCATTCTCAAATAATAAAATTATTTCTCAACGTGAAATGTTTTCGAGACGGTTCATTAAAAATGAAAGTATTCCTGGCACAATTTCGGAGCAAATACAGAAATGTACTAGACTGTGCATTCCACACATCCCCCAGTTCCTTTGGGCATCTAACATGTGTACACAGTGTACGTACATAGCTGTTGCCAGTTCAAACGGCAGTCGTTCTCTTCTCGATTTTTATCGACAGGCGGTAGAAAATAAATACGTTGCACGAAGATCGATGATTGCAAGATAGCTGAAGCGTAAGGGTACTTTAATAAGGGTAACGAGGGGTGCGGTAACGAGTATGTTATATCAGTTGGGCACGGTGCCGCCGCGTCGCATTCGGTGCCGCTCTGTTAACGTGTAGACCAGAGAGCACCTCTTTTCTCGTTGCTCGTACCGCTGCTTTCGATACGTTTTCTTCCCCCCTCCCACTAAAACCTCCAGAAGGACGAGAAGGACGAACAACAGCAGCAGCAGCGACGTCGGCGCGGCGGCGATGGCAGCAGTAGTAGTGGTATCTACACGTACAGTTGATCTTCCCCTTTGCGTTCTCCCTCCAATTCGTATGCCGTCACCCATTTTCCCGTTCCAACCCTCCAGCCTTTCGTTCCGTCCAGCTACCTCCCGCCAAGCCCCGGTCCCACCACCCGACCTCGTCATCCCCTACCACCACCGAGTATCCCGAACATCCCCTACTACTCCCAATTCGGCCTCCATGGAACGAGTGAGCGAGGTATTGATTCCCCTCGCAGTGGCAGCTCCACTTCACTGTTCTCCAGCGCACCAGTCTGGAGCAACTCACGTTCGTGGCTGCGGACCACTAATTTGCCGCTCGATTCCGCGCAAATTTGAGAAGTGCGAGCTCGATCATACGTCGAGCTCCGCGAACAAGCCTACCTCGTGATCGATTTCTCACGGTGGATGGTCGATCGCCGTTTGCCCCGCTTTCAACGATTAAGCGGATGGTTCTCCGGGTGACGGAAGATCGACGGAGCCGCCTGGAGCCCATCCAGCGGAACGTCACGCGTGTTTCACGATGAATGGGGATACCAGTGACACAATCGAGGATTGGCTGCATACACGAAGTTCGGTTGTCACGCGTCGTTGAACCGGGAATATCGTTTTTCTTTTTCTGTTACGACCATTGCAAATATCGGTGGTGCATTCGGATTGGAAAAATTACTCGGACGCTCGTACTTCGCTGGTACCAACGGTGTTAACGACCCTGACTTGAGGAACCCGGAACGGGCAGGAATATTTTCGTTGATGTCTCCCAAAGAAACTGTCCCTCTGGAAGACACGCATTCGAGTGTTCTTCAACACGTGCGGGCTCACGTGGTGTTGATGAAGAACGACTACGTACCCTTTGACTAGATTTAGATATTCATGCGTAAATACGGGTGATTAGGTACCTGGCATATCTATTATTTTCATTCTCGTTTCGCTTAGCAACGATTTACCGAGATATATAGATTTATAAATAATAGAGAGATATAGAAATTTATTCTAACGAATGCGTTGATTTGGAGTACAAAAAGGATAAAAGAAAAAGAAAAGTGGAAAAAACGAGTGAACAGTATACGGAAATGATATGCATGTGAAATATTACAGCATTCCAAGAGAGATTTAAAAAGATAACTACACGAAGGAGCGAACAGGAATAGACCGAAGCAGAGGAAAAAATGAATAGCCGATTAGTTTCCGAACAGCGGTGGAAGATAAGAAGATTTTTGGTGTTCGAATAAAATATCTATATGTACATATAAAGTTAAAGAGAAAACGTGATATCGAGAAATGTGACATATTTTTATACAGAGAATTCATTTCTACGCATATATTGCAAAAGTATTCTATATATCCAACCTTGAAACCTCTGAAATTGCTAGGTGAAGGGGAATTTTTGGAATCATCGTTTCGGTTCGTTAATTATCTCCAAGATTTGATTAGAGGTGCGGAGAAGATAGAAGAAAATATTAAGAGAAAGAGAGAAGGGTAAACGAATATCATTTAGAAGTGGGGTAAAGTGGTAGCGAAGAGAGAGGGAGGGTGGAAACTTCGAGGAAAATCAGGTTGAAGAATGAAATCAGTATCCCTTGAAGCGCAAATAAACTCACAAATAGTACAAGGTTGCAGCGTATACCCATGAGATTGTCGATTTTTTTAAATGGATTCGTTCTAATTTTACGAAAAGGGCGGACGATAGATTTGCGGGAAAGGAATGCCAGTGGTGATTTGCAAGAAAGAGGGGAAAAAAGATTTGCCTTAAGTAAAGATTAAAAATGTACAAATAATCGGAAAATTGCCATTTCGCGACAATGGTGCTTCCCCCTCCGCGTGCCAACGTAATAACAAGATTGCTTGTGTCATACGGATAGGTAACGAGCGTATTATTATAGCGCGTAAAATATCGGAAGCTGGATAAACAGATTCACTCGGTGCACTCTCGTCTTCTCTCGCCGTTCTACATGACTACGTGGCTTTCATGGATTCCTGAACTGATAACTAAGAGGCACTCGATTGGAACGATAATCTGAACGCCCACGGAAAATGCACGTTGCAGAGCGGTTATGTTTTTTTTATTTTGTTTGCACGTTGATAATCAACATGTTGTACCAGCTTAGGAAACAATTGTATTCGATGTGGGAGACTAAACCGGATGTTGTTACGCAAACTTAGGAAACGGTCGTTAACAATGATCAACGCAATGGTTTGACAATCCGAATTCGCACGAAGGGAAACAACGTGAACAAGATTTCTAACAAAAATGTTTCGTATCACAAGGGAACGAATCTTAAGTGTAAAATCAAGCGAACCTTCGTCAAATTAAACGACGTCCTCGATTGTTCCACCGTCCAAACGACAATAAAGGCATCGATGGAAGAACACGGACGAGTCGAAACGAATATACCAACATCGTCTAATCGGGATGGCGGTATTGCCCGTTTAGAAAGAATTATAACCGCACCGGAGATCATTTTATTCGAATTAATAACGGTATTGATGTAACGACGATAATGGTAGAACCCAGATGGTCGAAAAAATGCATGAATAGTACATTGAGTTTGTTGAATCCGATCAGCAGTTACGCGGACTTGGGAACGCTTCATAAGAAACACTGCAGGAGGATATTTTGCTCGTGCAAGAAGCACAACGTGAGCATAATATGCATCAATGAGGCGAGGAAGCTGTACTGGTTTCATTGTAAGAACGTTCGCGAAAAGGTGAATCTTGGTCTTGGCGACGGTTACTATTACAAATTGCTGAGGATCGTTAATGGTGCTTTGAACACTTGGGCTCAGCTCTACATCGACGGTCTCAACGTCACTCGTAGAGAGATCATGTTCAAGATAAACGGCACCGCAAAGAAAAATATGAAGCTCCTGAAGGAGGGTTGCTACTGTCATTATCATCCGCACATGACGGCAGACGCGTGCAACGCCGACTTTCTGAAAAAAGTCGTAAGTTTTTGGGCTGGTGAAGGCCTTAGGGGATTACGCGACAAGCTTCGCGGTATGACGAATTATGCTAAAAAGGTAGAGACTCGAGTTACCGCGTTATCCTTTTAGCATCCAATTTCTGCCACCGTGTATTGTTCACCGTTCTCATAACTTTTACGGTTACCGATTACTATCCGATTCTACCCGCAACCCTATTGTAACTTATCTCCTTCAATGTAAACGTTTCCGGAATTTGTTTTCCAAATTTTAATATACATTTGATCTGAGAATATGTCGAAAACAAATGAGTTTTTTTTTTCTTTTTATTCCCTATTCCATTCTCATTTTCAAGATTTCCCATGTATGGAAAAGCATGGATTATCCTAATATGTGAAGCAGTAAGTATTTGTTACGCACCGAGCACTCCCGGTAGGTTAATAATCGTAGATGGTGTATTATTTCCGTACAGTAATATAAGGAACGATAATGTTATTACTAAGACCGTTATCAAGAATAATATTTACCAGTTATGCTCCTTGTACGTTGTTTAGTTTTTCCTCGTTCTTTCTTTACCGGATCTTCGCTCCATTTTCTTCGGATCCCACTGAAACGAATAAAAAATAAATTATCTTTAAATGTATCGTCCGTATCCTGTTTTCAATTATAATTAAAAATGTCTTTTGTACAGATCGATCGTTAAATGTTCACGTGAAATGTGCACCTGAGATTGAACTCGACCGCGAACCGTTAAAAATAATGAAACGATAAATAATCGTGATGGTAAATGGACAGTAACGTAAACGAATATTTTAGATGTCCGATGATGACAGAATGTCGCTAACCACTGCTGTCAGTGACGACGACGATGGCGAGAGCGTTATAAATTCACCTTACCGAGGGAAACAGACTGGCACGGCTGCGGCTTCGTTCAATTGCACGGGTGCAGTTCGAAAAGCTGGGTAAGCTTAGTTAAAGACGAATAAAATCTCATTTAAAGTCACGTCTAAAACTGCTCCTAAGTATACTTTACAAACGACTTTCTAAATCGTGACAATCCTAATCACTTTAACACAAGTCCTTTCGCACTAGCTTACGTTACGAGATTTAATCGTGTAATACTAAACCGCAGATACCTAAGCGTGAAGAAATGGCTGTTACGAAAGAAGCACCAAATTGAACTCGCGAGAAAGAGGGGATGGAAGGGCTACTGGGTTTGTCTGAAGGGCACTACGCTTCTATTCTATCCTTGCGATTCGCAAGAAAGCAGAGCTATGGAGGCTGCGCCCAAGCATTTGATCATAGTCGATGGCGCGATCATGCAACCGATCCCGGAACACCCGAAACGAGAATACATATTTTGCTTGAGCACTGCGTTCGGTGACGCTTACTTATTCCAAGTAAGTGCATATGCATATCGCGATACAATCAAGGAGATCGGTACAATAACAATGCTTGTCTGAGAACAACAAAATATCTACATCAATTGTATAATACGATGAATGTAAAAAAATAAACTAAATTTCATTACCTGGAAAAGTTGAAAAATACGAAAACACCTGATTGTCGTACTGTCTAAGAGAAATTCAGGATTGACAAGGATTATTTTTTACGAACTCTGTAGTCGTGTAACCGTTTGTCCATCATTTTCGTGAATTACTAAAAAAGACTGCGGTTTTTTTGTGTAAACCATTAGGCACCGTGTCAAGTGGAACTCGAGAACTGGGTGAACAGCATACATTCGGCTTGTGCCGCCGCGTTCGCGCGTCATCGCGGTAAAACTGGAACTCTTCATTTATTGCAGGAAGAAATCTTTCGCTTAGAAAAGGCGATAGAATCGGTAAGCGAATCGGATATTAACCTCGTTTCCTTGTCTACCCTCCCGGCGTGGGAGCCAGAGAGAGAGGGAGGGAAGTACGCAAATCTTTCTCGTCTGCAGGATCACAAATTGAAGCATATGGCCGATCTTCAGCAGTCCGTTGTGTCTGACGTGGAGACAAAACAGCAGATCAACAGTCAGATTGTTCAATGGGAAGAGAATCTGGAACGGCTTCATTGCGAGCAATTTCGTCTTAGGTGTTACATGGCTAGTTTGCAAAGCGGCGAATTACCTAATCCGAAGGTGAGCATACGTTTGCTTTGTATTTCGCCTGCAATGTAATGACAACGAATTGCTAAAGCTTCACGGATCGTCCGTTCATAATATTTTCCGTGCGTCATTAACGTAAGTAGTTTATAAATTAGCGTAACACGTTCTCGATTATCGGAAGCACGTATCGACCACGGTGAACCACAAATAGAATCTTGTAGAACTTCAACGAGGCAGTTTCCACTAGATTAGTAGGGGCAGTCGATAATCTCGACGTCGCGAATCGCCTCGATTCGAATCCTTTTTTTTTTTCGCAGAGTTTATTGACGCACGTATCCCGTGCCACGAAGCAGACGTTGAACAAATTAGGCGTGTTCACCGTGTCGTCGTTTCACGCGTTCATCTGCGCGCGGAGCCCTTCGCTACTGAACAATCTGTTGGCCGGACGCGGGGCCACCAAGAGGAGACCGCCGTTGCTATCGAGATCCAACAGCGGCTCGAGTAGGAGATCCCTTCAAATTTCGTCCAGAGACGACGAAAAAACCGTGAAGGTGTGCGTACCAGAAAATCAGGTGAGCAATTGGAAATTGTATTGTATTCCATGAAGCTTTTCTAGCCAAGAGTATTAATGAACGTTATCCTTCATTTTCTATTCCCATCTGTCATTTGATGTTCGTATTTCTCTATGATACAATCTCGCAGCTGGTGTCCGTGTTTGTGCGCGATGCTATGACAGTAGAGGAGTTCCTTGCAAGTGCTTGCAACAGGAAGAATCTAAATCCGATGGAACATTTCGTTCGCGTGAAGAAACGACGCGACATGGAAGATCATAACTATTTCGTGCCGCATAGAACCGACCTGATAGAGACTTACGTAAGTATGGATCGTTGAACGGAATAAAGAATAAAGGGAATGGAAGAGACGAAGACAACGAGCGGTGACTTATACGTTTCAGTTGCATACGCATGAGATTGTTGAAGTTTGCGCCAAAATATTGTATCAAGTAGAATTGCAAAGAAATACTCTCGACCAAATGTGGGGCTTCTCAGTGGAAGCGGAATTGATCGAGAATTCAGATCGACAAGATGAATTGTGCTGTTACGTTAGCAGGGTTGAAGATAAGAGCGTGGCCATGCAAAATGGTAAGTAATTTGGAAGAGATGAAAGACGCGCTGATTTTGTAAATGCGCTTACGTATCCCAATCCGTTGTACAATTTTTGTCATGCTCATTGAAGGACAAAGTGAGATCATTTTCTGCAATTGAACGTGGTGTAATATAAATAGAGGATCATCTGACCAAGTCCCTTTCTTCACCCTTCTTACATTTAATTTAAGAATGAAGGTGAAATCCACATGGAAACACAAAGTGTGACCTTAATCAGACTTTTTTTTTTCATCTACAGAATCTCTTGCAAAGAATGACATTGAAAGTAATTGATTTTTTCTATCGCGTATCCCTACTGACCGAACAAACACACGTTTATATCCTTCAACGAACCGATGCGTGCATAACGCGCGTGATGTACATAAATAGAGTTAAGTCTTGAACGTTATAAATTATATGCAGAATGATTCAGTGTTCTGTAAAAGAACAATAATAGAGCGATTCATTTATCCGCTCTTTTTCCTTAATCAACACCTACGCGGAAAATTTTTCAAAGTTACCAAAGTCTGACGTGAAACACTTTTGCGCTTTGACGTTTCTTAGGAATCATCAAAGGTGATGAAATAATGGTGATCAACGGTGCTATAGTAAGCGATTTAGATATGATGTACTTGGAGAGTGTGCTGCAAGAAGAGGTCGGTTTATGCATGATGATGAGATCCTCGCGAACCGAGCCACCGGATCTCACGGGTATAATGAGAGTTACCGATGAGATAATCGAGAGTTTGGTTTGCCCACCTCCACCCTCTGATCCGCCAATGATAAGCGAAGAAATGATTTCTGGTTTAATCGTCCCTAAACCTGGATGGAGTAAGGAATAACATTTTTTCTATTCAGCCTGTTGCTTCGTCTGATATCCGACAAAGTATTGATCTATACTACTGATAATATAATAAATTTTGACCCTAATATATTACTGATATGCATGTCCCACGTATTCTATTTTTCTATGTAGGCTGTTACTTTGTCTGACGTCGGGCAGAATTATACTACTGGCAGACAGTAAATATTGATCGATACTACTGAATACTGGTCTATACTACTGAATATTCTCTCTTCTCTATTGTTACACAGGCAAGGAAAGTATTCCACAAGAATGTAGCACGACGACTCACATAGAAAATGGAAAACAGACGTCTCGCACAAATTCGATCGAGATAGAAAATTTATTGAAGACCGCCGAACAAGTAACAGGAATCTGTCGATCACCCGGTGAAACGAGGAAGTCCAGCCCCACCGGAAGTGTTGTTAGTTCTCATTCCCAAGCTATGACGCCGAGTCGGCAATTGAGCGATGCTGAGAAGTTGAAGAAAGTTATTCTAGAATTAATTGAGACTGAACGTACATATGTGAAGGTAAGTAATAACTTCTATCCTGAAATGGATGAAAAATCCACCTCTATGGCCGATATTCAGAGTCGTTACTTATTTTTAAGATCGTCTTAAGTTTTCCTATCCTTGTCTATCCCACATTTCTAGTTCCTGTTGTGTACAGGAAACTGGGACTTAAGCAAATGCTTAAGGCGATAGTAAATATAATTAACGACTCTGAATACCGCCCTATATGTATTATTCTGAACGATTACGTTTATAATTACATAAATGCGATTATGCTTCCAGAATTTAAATAATTTGTTGGAGAACTACTTAGAACCCCTTAAACGTGAAACCTTCCTATCGAACGCAGAGATAAACGCATTGTTCGGGAACATACAAGAGATTGTTACGTTTCAACGACAGTTTCTACAAAATCTCGATCACGCGATCGAGATGGAAGTTGATTTCAATAATTTTGACCATCCTAGTCAATTTAAGGTACGCGACGACCTCATAAGCTGACTAAAGACTAAACGTTCGCTGAAAATTTCTTTATTTCGCGTTCTTTTCTGTTAAAGGGTGTCCTGTTTTCTATTGGAAGTGCCTTCTTGTATTACGTAAATCATTTCAAGTTGTACAGTTCGTTTTGTGCTAGCCATTCAAAGGCGCAAAAGGTTTTACATCCAAGTAAGTAAATTGTCGATTTTTCTATTCAAGAAAATCAATTCCCATCTTCGAAAAATTTTCGACTACATCCTTCCGTTCGTATAGATGAAGGAAATCAAGCTTTACAAGAGTTCCTGCAAGCGAGAAATCCAAAGCAGCAACATTCGTCAACTTTAGAATCATACTTGATAAAACCTATTCAACGAATATTGAAATATCCTTTGTTGCTACAACAGCTCCGGAACCTAACTGACGAACGAAGCGAGGAGCATCAACATTTGATCGGTAAATACAAGGACAACAATGTATTAAATATTATGTATAACAGGATCCTAAAATTAATGACTTGTATTGAGACAATGAATAATTAATGAACAGAGATAATTTACTGTCGATTGCAGAAGCGCTAAAAGGCATGGAAAAAGTAGCGGAACACATAAATGAAATGCAAAGAATTCACGAAGAGTACGGAGCGATCTTTGATCATTTGTTCAGACAACATCAAAAATCTTGCAAACAGGTAACGACAAGGAGTATAATTTTATTCAATTAATAAGTGGCTTGCAGGTTTCATGCAAATGTTATTAATGATAATTATAATTTATCAGCCGATCGACTTAAGTCCTGGGGATCTTTTGTACTATGGAGGCGTTGAATGGCTGAATATTTCCGATTTTCTTGGTAAAATCAAGAAAGGTCTGGAATTACACGCGATGTGTTTCGTATTTAAATCTGCCGTCGTATTTCTGTGCAAGGAACGATTAAGGCCAAAGAAGAAGCTCATGGTAAATTTCTAGTTCTCCTTCATTACGCATGTAGCAGGAATATTCACAGGAACGCTCCGTATAACAAGTAATCCATTAATCAGGTACCCACGAAAACGAATCCCAGCGAGGTAGAAATAATTCGTTATCAAGTCTTGATCCCCGTAACAGAAGTCCAAGTTAGAGCTAGTTCTGCCAAAGACATGGAATCGCATTTCTTATGGGAATTGATCCACTTAAGAAGTCAATTACAAAGAAGATCGGAGAAAGTATACGTGCTCTCTAACAGGTATCGTATTTTCTATTTTACCTTGAATGAAATTTTTTAAATATACACGCTTTGCTCTAACACCACCGCATTATCCGACGAGTTTGCCTGCATTAATTTGATGCTACACATCATTGTCAGGTACATTTCATACGTATATGTCTAATATATTTCTCGTTGCGTGCAGAGTATCCTCGAATTGGAAGTTCACGAAAAAAGTGTGAATTTAAATCGAGAAATGTTAAGTAACATTTTGAAATGCGTGATTATGCAAATATGAAAGATTTTTTGCGTTTATTACTGTCACGAAATAATGTTACTTTACATTTTCTAATCATTTTATCCCCTCGATTTACTGTACGTTTAGTTTTATTACCAGTTTCTTCGATATACATACGTGTAGTGTGTCATATACTATTTGGGAAACATTGCTTACAACATGCTTTGCTTCTTGCTCTCTGATCGCTCTAATATCGTGTCAGCAAGCGACGAGCTTTTACACGTCTCCTTTTTACCCTCAGCACGACAGAATTTAGAAACGCATTTTTGAGGACGATTCGTCAAATTATTCGAGAATCGGTACGAAATATGAGCATACCGTCGACGAAACAGAACATGAACCAACCACCGATGACGATTGCACCACGAATGTCGACCGGACACATCGAGAAATTCGAAAAGCAGCCACCAAGTCAGGGACAAAACGGCAACGGTAGCATCGCGACTACCGGTACCCTGTCCAAGAAAATCGTTAAACCACAACTGCTCCCGACCTCGCATAACGTAAAACGGAAATACAGCCAATCGAAGCAAGCGGTGGAGCACGAGAGCTCCGAGGACAAGGATGCAGAGGAACCAACAGGAGCCGTGATCAACCAACAGCAAACGACATTTCGTTCCCGAAGCAAGACCATAAGCGATACGTCCGGTAAGATTGTTTTATATAGTAAAAGTTTACCCCACATTTTTTTCTAATGCAAGGTGGTGTAAAACTTTGGATTATTGGATAGAATATTAAATAATCATTTCTTCCCGCTTATGCTAGACCCATATTTATTCATTAATTGTGTCATTATTGTCCCGTTTAGCAATGGCAAAAGTGAATTCAACTTCAGAATTGATCGAGTCGCATAATCACGGGTCTGGCATAAAGGGGACGAGTTTTGAGTCGCGATAACGATGTAAGTTACGTTATTTGAAATACGCAGGCGAGGTAAAAGTCGAAATGGATTCGGGAACGAAATCCGAGGGGGAGGAAGACTCGCAAGCTTTTTTAGGTGAGAAGAAGGCGAATTTGGGCCGCACACCGAATCATTTGACTTTGAGCACCGCTTCAACCATTTCAGCAGGAAGCACGGGTAGCCAGGCAAGGCTGATCCAGTCCTCTCATCAGCCGGAAAACTATCAACCGATCACAGTCAAGGAACTTGGTGAGAAGAAAATTCATCAACATAGAATAATAAATTTCTAATTTTCGTGTACTGTCAAATTTATACCAAACAATGAACGTAATAATAATAAAAATTGAATAGAATTCAAAAATATGAAATCACTTGGCACACGAAGTGAACGATGCACGAGAATTGGAAATTATTAATAACTTTTTAGAAACAGCCGTCACACGAGTATTAATCTGAATTGAAGGTTCGCCGATCTGGAAGCCACGGGAATTACCCTCGCTCGGGGAGTCGACGACGTTGCCGCGTAAGGGTAAGTCGGGCAGCGAGTTCGGGGACATAAGCTCGTCTCATAGCGCCTCCCGAAAGTCTCTGATAGAAATCAATAATTGTGCTCAACAATCTAACTGTAATAACCATGTTTAAATTAAATAGATGTTAACTGATTAACGAAGTATCGAATTAAGTTTAAAGAAACCGTGAAATTATTCGATTATCGTGTAAACTGTAAAGACTTAGCGCGCGCTTGCCGCCCACGCGGAATCACGTACACAGTTATTGTAACTTTGATCGTTACGCGTTTCCATGCTTCCTTATTCTCGTTTGTCTTCCAAACGCAACGCCAAGCGTCGCGCCGCAACTTTTTCTCTGTACAACGAACGATACTCGATTGTTAAATGGGAGAAAATGTTGAAAATACGAAAGTGTTACTTTTTAACGGAAAAGAATTTCCCTCGGACCGGAAAGGGAACGTGCCGCTACGAAAATTGTATAACGCGGTCGATGAGGATCTTCAAGATCATCTTCGGACTCCTCATTCAAGCAATACTGTTCTACCCACCGATCTCACTGTACTATAGTAATCAAAATCAAACAACAATATTGCTCAACTAGCAATGCTAGTATAGAGTAACGAGTTTGGTAAAATTCTATCTACTATCATCACCACCATTCAACCAACACTCCTACTACTGCTTGTACTACTTCTACTACTTCCGCTACTTTTAATACTTCTGCTACTCTTGCTATCATCACTACTACTCTACTACTACCGCTTCTGCTGCTACTATGATGATTCTGCATGTCATCCACGCAAGTACGAGCTGCGATGAATGTTCAAGACGGCATAGATTTTTCAAATATTTCTGTAAAATATAACCATTCATTTTTATTCGATTTTAATCCACCAAGTGTAATTAGTTTCACAACTCTCTTCTCCACGTGGACGGCAATGCGCAATAAACTCTGTATATAATGTAATATTGATACTATCAATATTGTCATTATTATTGTCGTCGTCGTCACCATGATCATCCTCTCATATTCGTATTATACTCCATGTCATGATTATTTTCATGTGTATTTTTAATACCATTACTCCTTAAATTTGTTTATCATTCGTTATCACTGTCGCAATTGTTGCCAAAATCCCCTTATTACTTTGAATTATTATGATTACCATCATCGTTACTTATTCTATTATTATTGTTGTTATTGCGTATTAGTGATATTACTAGTTCTATTATTGGTTTGTATAGACAGCTTACCGTTACTAATATCTATTACCATAATCATGGTTATCGTCATCACCGTCATTGTATTCATTGTTAAACGATAAAACGTCGCTACGGTGGGCGAAAAAAATCAAGACATTATATATGAAATGTCCACAAAAAAAAAGAGAAATTAAGAACGAACGACGACATTGACGAGGAGATTTAGTGATGAAATAAGAACATTTAACGAAATAAGTCGTGTGTACATATGTACGTGTGTGTATGTGCGTACATGCGTTGGGTACCTGTCGTGTACGCATACGTCTGTACCTGCAGTGGCACACAGAGCATATAGATACATTTGTATACATGCGTATCTGTATACATATGTACATACATATATACGTGTATCGCATCGAGGGACACGGTCTTCCACATGTTTCGAACACATTTTGGGCTCGAGTATTCTATTCTCGTTATAGGAAATTTTATTTTTAACGTTACTTATAAACTACGATTGGTGGGTCAGGATATTCGAGGCTAAAAACACGAAACGGGAGATGTCAATTTGCGCGTGGCCATTGTTCGCATATGCGGTGAACAATAAATTGTGTACCTAAGCATACCAAGCGTGATGGTATTAATCGAAATCGTTGAAGCAGCGTACGCGTTCAAGATCCAGTATTAAATAAATGAAACTATGTGGAACACCGTCGTAGCGTCGGCGATATATAAATACAACAAGAGTTAACAAATACTTGACGTATAATGCATTGTTAACGAATGCTAAGTGATAAGTTAACACGATATTAAGTGATTAATACTTGTAAATTAGAAAACAGAAAGTATATCTATATCTATATCTACATCTATATCTATATACATATACGTATACATATATATACATATATGTATGTACGCATATATTTGTCTACGCAGACGAATATCTGCAACACATGCAACACGAGATAAGATACACACACACGTATAATATATATGCGTATGTGCCTGCGTGAACGCGTTCGTGGGTGTGTGTATATTGTATAATAGGCGTATACATAATATGTAGGATGAGAGTAAACGGTTGTTCGCAAATTCGATGATATACTCTGAACGAAACGAAAGATCATACCTTCCTTCATGCGTCCCGTTCTTTTCCTTTCCTACTCCTGCCAATAAGCTAGAGAGATTTGCCTACCCGTAGGACGTAGAGTAAGTTAGGTAGTATGAGAAACGAGCACCAAAATTTCTGAACAACACTTTGGATCATCCTATATATACATAATATATATATACACGTGTACACATACGTGTTACCTGTATGAGTGACACGCAGAATCGAGCTATCATTTGTACATTTTTTTTGTTACCGTTCCAAAACGCAACATTACGAAAATTCGATCGTGTTGAATCATAAATATTTGCTCTTTTAACCAGTCTTAGTTCCAGCCTACGTCAATTTCAAACACGATCGCCGAAATGCGTAAATTACCGCAATACATTTCCTTGTTTACTTGTATAGTGCCATAATTATGTAAAATTTATAATACGTAAACTCTTTGTACACGTTTTTATCACGTTCGACACTTCCAATTTAAATACTAATCTTTTAATATAAGAAATTTCGGACTACCAATCGCTCCATATGATTTCACGTAATGGGAATAACGGCGAAAAGGAGTTACATTATAATTAATTTTGAGAAGAAAGAGAAAAGAGCACAATTCAATTCGACTTAAGGCGTCTAATGAAAAAGAAAAAACGATTGAACTTTGTTTCAGTGGACGTTTCAATGAATTCGATAGTTATCTTATCTTGTCAAATAACAGAATCGCGTTATTAATACATTTATCGGAAGAAAAGTTATTCACATTGAGAATGATAGATCACCACGTTTCGAGGATCGATTGATAAGAGAACAATGTCATTATATTATCTCCTTCGTCTACAAAATTTTTCGTCGTCGCCTCGAACCGTCGCACAGGTGTGCTCTTTTTTTTCTCATCCGACATGTAATAAATACTCGCGCACACATTTATTGAACGTATGCACACACTTACACAGACAACCACATGATCGCACACGTGCGCATATACATAAAAAATACTTAACGTAAAATAAGATATCGATTAAAATACTTCACCACGGAGAAGAAATAATAAGATACCTACTTATATATATATCGATTACTATAGATGTCATAATGTGCGAATTTCAAAATCTACAGGAGACCTTCTGTTGCTCGAATTATTGCATTGTCTACTATATACATATATATATAAAAAAATTTTATTGTATAAATTTCGTCGAGGCGCGTCTCCGAGCGTAAAAAAAAAAGGTAAAGAATTAAAAAGAAAACGTCGACGTTCCCGTTTTTCTCGAACCGCGTGAACTTATCCTGCGAGATAAGACTCTTCCTTTGAACGATACCTCATTTGGAATAAAATATAAAACGATAAATAATTTGCAGCGTCGCGAAAATGTAGGAAACAGCCGAAGTCCAATGAGAGAGACATCAAACACGTGAATGTTTAAACTACTTTTCCATAGTTTTACAAAAGATCGAGTTCGACTTTGTAGAGCGTCAATCAAGATAAGGTAACTGTAACAATTGCGAATACGAAAAAATGTGAAAATTTTCGAACGTTCAATATTAGTATTTACGTACGTCCCTGCATTTATATGTGACAATCAATGGGAAACTTACTTAGATCGACGTCTTTTGTGTTTTAAAATTAGGGGTGAAGGAAGATGGAGACGATAGTTATCACGATGTACGTGTTTAAAAAATGTTAGTTAAATCTTGATAATGATAAGAACGAAATCGACAAACGGGGGAGAATGGGAACAAGTAAATGATCAAAGACCGGCGCATCTGATTAGGCGCCTAGAAAGAAAGAGAAATTAGGAGAATCGCAAAGTTCCTGAAGATTTAAACACGCAACGCGGTACACGTGTAAGAAAAATCGCTGGGACGCTCGACAAGACACTCTAGCTCGGAGACGTATCTTAATACATAGTTGGCCTAGTAACGAGTTTCATATTTTTCGCCCCCGATCGCAGTAAAAATCGTCGAACGATTATCATCTATTATACAATATTATTGACATTATCCACAAATTTTATTGAAATAAACTTTATCGACACCGTTGAACATAATATACTTAAATTATGACAATTTCGATATTGTTATATACGGGCACCGAGTATGTATATCGTGGAAAGGGATAACGGAGAGTGAAGGAAGCAGGCGTGAAAGAGAGAAGGGAGGTACAGAGAGAAAGAGGGTGAAATAGATGAATCAGTGAGCGACAGTTGAACGTATGCGTATCCGTGTGTGAAAGAACAGAAAATGAGAGAGAAAGAAAAGAGGAGGTCGAAAGGATAAATCCTTGAGGTGGGTGCGAATCCAAAGATTTTAAACGATTGATAGAATAACTATACAATTGTATAAGCGGGGATAAAATATTACGATAAAAGTTCGAGATAAAATGGAACAGGGTGGGCTGGTCATGTTTAAAACGAAACGAAGAGACAGTTAAAATACAGTCTTTCTATATTCCTTTTCCTTTTCATTAACGTGCGGTCAATCAGAAATGAAGAAAACGAAATCGCCCGCGTATAAACACGCGAACGCAATGTAAACGTGTTAATTACGCGTTCCCATCTATTGTGTACTTATATATTAGTAATGAACATTATAATTACGATAATTCCTGTATTTATTGTTATTGTTCCTCGGTTATGCGGAAATGTTCAAGAGTGATCCATTTGTACAATCATTGAGTCATTAAAATATGATTATTCAGTATTGAAGTTGCTTCTATTCTTTCAAAAATAATTTCAATTCGATAGCTTCCTTGCAATTTTCCGTGCACGTATATACATTATGCATTCGTATTACGTATGTAAAAAGATTTCTTTGAATAACGGTGCATGATATTTTTTACTATAATCGCTCGTATCTTATACAATATATACCTGTTAATACAAAAACGATTCTTTGTTCGCCACATTAGATTTCAGCTATTGATTAATCGCAGGTGTGCACGACTTAAACACTTCAAAAGTTGCGTTAATCATTATCAGTTTACTGATCCTACATCGATCTGAAATACACGGCTGTTCTTGATCAGTCTGTCCGGTGTAAGATTACGGTTACTCATTTTCCTGCAATAGCCGTTCTACTGATTCGTGCACCTGAACGATAAAATGATAATCGATATTTTTCAATTCACATGAACGAAAACGAAGAATCACCTTCGTTAAGGATCATTCCGGGCCAAGTCAATGATCAAGCAACATGGAAACCAGTGCATCAGTATTATTAAAATAGTAATCAGTGTAAACGTGGTGATCGATATAAATTTATTAATTATCGTGCGTATTGGCGAAATTATCTAATACAAATGTATATAAACGTAGAGAATACATGTGCATAACTGTAAAGAAGAGAATCAAACAGTGGCCTATAGATACTACAAGCTGAACTATCCGTTCGATATTTTTACGGAATTATTATCAACATGAATCGAATCTGTCTTGAAGTTATTACTGCTATATTAATATCTTGTTACACATTAACAATAGTGCAGTGCCAGAATGGGGAAAATGCCCATTGCGTGTGGTCCGGGACGAGCGAGGCCGCTGAGGGATACACGTTAGTATATTTGGGCCCCCCGTTTGCCAGCAATAATACGGACGTGAAAAGGAGACTTCGTGAGAAGTGTCCACAGTATTTTGAAGGCATAGGTACATTTCTCTTTCTGTGAATATTTCAATTCAGCAGTTTATACTTGACGTCAAAACTAACGGATAATTATTTATTTTCCGGCTACTTATACCAAATTTATAGATGTTTCAGATAATGATAAACCGAAATTATGTTGCGATGATAGTAATATAGAAACACTCCTTAGTAAGTTAGACACGGCTGAAGCTGTTTTTGGTAGATGTCCAACGTGTATAAGAAATATGTACCAGCTTTTGTGCGACTTAACTTGTAGCCCTGTGCAAAGCACATTTTTGAATATTACAAAGACAGAAACAAACAATAATGTAACTTACGTCGATGGAGTTCAAGTAAGTGAACCGTTGTTCCCACTCTAATTAAGGATGTATTGGCTATACAGTCAATCCCAAAAGTTTATGCACTTTAGAAACGCATTTTTTAAAAATAAATCAGACGTCGGAAGAGCATTGCTAATAATAAACAACAACAAAAAATTTTCGATTTTTCCGAGATTTTTCCAAGGGGTACCCCTTCAATTTCTTCCAAATTTTCGTTTTTGGCCAATAACTCCCAAACCGTTGGACATACGGAAAAATTTCATATGACCTTTCTTGTAGAGGACGACGAGATCTACAATTTCCATGTAAAAATTTTTCGCTAGCGTTAATACTTAGTTGGATATTTCCTTCTATACTTTTTAGCACGTAGCTATTTATTATTAGCATTATTCTTCCGACGTCTGATTTCTTTTTAATTATAGGAAATGCGTTTTTCTAAGGTACATAAACTTTTGGGATTGATTGTATAGCCAATACATCCTTAATTCAATTCTAAGGTCTATCTAAATTATTTTAAACATTATATCCAAGTTGCAATAAAACAAAAAAATGACGTATACATATGTATACGAAACAGGATGCAATGAATTACAAGTAATTTCTCCTTTTTTAGGCTTATGTGGATGAAGGATATATGAATAGAACATTTGACTCCTGTAAGAACGTCATTATGCCATCAACTGGAAATTTGGCTATGGGAATATCATGCGGAAAACACACAGCGGAAACATGCACGCCGAAATTGTAAACTTAAAGATTGTTATGACAATTATGTATAAATCATTAATAGAATACAGACTAAAAAAAAATACAATTATAGGTGGTACGAGTATCAAGGCGAAAATCCGCTCATCAAGTTTAAAATGGATTTCCTTACTGAGAATGAATCTTGGAACGGAATGTTTTGGAACGCGTCGGTGAAACCATGTAATGAAAGCTACAATGTAAGTCTGATGGATAACCGTTTAAAATTATTGACAGATCTATTTATTTATAGTTAGACTGCGGATTATAGGAACAAAATAATTCAAATCTTTATTGTACATACGCAAGTAAGCGAAGTTGAATATAAAGAAATCGTATGCGTTTCTAAAAATCGTTTTCGTTCGACAGGGATCGGTAGCTTGCGGTTGCAACGACTGCCCGTCGGCCTGTCCGTATATGGAATTGGTAAAGGAAAAGCCTAAATTCATCATTTTTAACCACAACGGTTACGGAGTGATAGCCGGAATAGTAATTGGTGTATTAATACTGTCAGCTACGATTACATTCATAGTTGTAAAGAAAATACGTTCAGGTATCGTTTCAACTTGCACTTGCATTCGGTGAACAGTACGCAATGTTATCATAATCATAATTACACTAATTTTTGCCCTTCCGGCTATAATAAATATATCGAATTCCAGATAAACCAGTTGTTGATGAAAACATCAACGCGGAGGGTGAAACGGAAATAAAACAATTTTCAAAAATTGACATAATATGTCGATCAATTTTTATTGCCTGGGGTAGAGGTACGTTCCTTATATCAATCATATCAGGACTGTATTGTCACTTATATAGATATTTAAGCTGGCTTTTCCTAATCCTTATCAATATGATTAATTTGTTTGATAGCATTTGCAAAATATCCAGTCGTTCTCTTACTCGTGTTCTTATGTATAATAATTGGACTGAGCTATGGAATCACGAGTCTTCAAGTAATAAGCAATCCAACGGAAATTTGGGCAGCACCCACTAGCAGAGCTAGAGTCGAGAAGGATTACTTCGATACGCAGTTTCAACCCTTCTACAGAACCGAACAAATCTACATTAAAGCCGTAGGCTTGCCGGAGGTAATAATACATAGACTATGGATTTTATGTATTTATAGAATAATTTGATGTGCAAGAATATGCATTACACACGCAAGCGTTTATCATTATATTGGAAGACTAAAACAAGTCTCAATTTCTAAATTGATATCTCGAAAGTTTTATTTCCACATTTTAAATCCACAGTTTAATAATAATATATCTCACCTGTTTTTCTTGTATTATTATTTTATCACTTCTAAAATTCTTCGCATTCAGGTGCCTTATAATTCGACAACCGACGTTCTCAAATTGGGTCCTGTGTTCAACAAGGAGTTCCTACTCGCTGTATACGAACTTCAGAATGAAATACTGAAAGTAAATATTATTTCACGAATACGTACGAATAAACTCGCTAAACGCTTAAACAATACTTAACGCGTTGATATCAAAATTTGCTTTATCAGCTCGGCAAAGATGACGACGAAGGTTTGGACCGTATTTGTTACGCGCCTGCTCAAAGCGACTATCTCGGGAACATCACTTTGGACCTTTGCACGGTGCAAAGCGTATGGGGATATTTCCAAAACGATATCAACATTTTTAATGGAACGACCGGAGTCTCTTATTTGGACCATTTATATAAATGTGCCCAGTGAGTTATCAAAATACAATAATTTCTATTATAAAATAAATGTAAATTATTTTCCACTTCAACAAAGGAACGCTTTCAATCCTGAATGTTTGGCACCATACAAGGGGCCAGTTTTTCCCGCGTTGGCTTACGGAGGTTTTCTTAAAGAAGGCGAATTAAATTACGATGCGAAAAATTATATGAAAGCAACCGGAGTAGTTTTATCTTTTCTTGTGAAAAACTCTCTCGATACGGAGGAGCTCGAATCGGCGTACAAGTGGGAACAACGGTAAAGTATAGTTATACAAATGGGACATGTTGCGATAAACTGGTAAAACAATACTATCTGGAGATATCATATAATAATTAACTTTTTCAGGTTCCTCGATTTCATGGAAGAATGGACCGTGAAAAAGAGACCAGAGTTTATGGACGTCGCCTATACCACAGAGAAATCAATCGAGGACGAGTTAGTGCGATCATCGAAAGCAGAAGCTAAGACAATACTCCTCAGTTACGCATTGATGATTCTTTACGTAGCTTTTGCGTTAAGTAAAGTAAAATGTGGGATCCTAGTATATCTTGTAAGTTATTCTGTTCTTAAATATTTGACGATATAATCACCTTAAGTATTACAGTAATTAATAGTCCTAAATTGATTTTCATCGAAAAACATTTTTATTTGATTCTAGGCGAATAGCAAAATAATGTTGAGTTTTGGTGGAGTAATCATAGTAATAGCATCAGTTGCTTGCTCTCTTGGCGTGTTCGGTTACATCGGAGTACCCACGACGCTTCTTACAATTGAAGTAAGACAAATATTTATTTTCGAATTTATACTTCCAGTGATTTCAGTTCAAAATATAATATGTATAATTGTATATTAATCGATTGCTTCTTGTTAATGTAGGTGATTCCATTTTTAATATTGGCCGTAGGGGTAGACAATATCTTTATTTTGATTCACACGCATCAAAGGCATCCAAAACGTGCCGATGAATCTGTACCTGATCATATCGGAAGAATTCTGGCGGAAGTTGGACCGTCGATGTTACTTACTAGCATGTCGGAATGCTTCTGCTTCTTAATAGGTTGATATCAATAACTGACAATTTATTTTCTCATTTCCATACCATAATATAAAGTAAAATGCAACGACATTAACGAATGAATATTTAGTTCAACATGTTCTTCTTAATTTTCACAAGATATACAGAGTGTCTCAAACCAACCCGTACATCTCTTCTAAAATTTGGAAAATTGAGTTTACTGAAAATTTGAAAATCTATTCTCTACTAAATCGGGCCTGTCCTATCTAATCGTGATATTCCCGACTTCTAGTGTAGACCGGAAGTCCATTTTTTCAAATGGTATATGCATATTTTTAAGACTAAAACCGCTTTTAAACTTCCGAAACTTAATTTTAGAGGAAACAAGAAAGCTATATAACAATAAATTAAATCTCTAGAAGACGAGAAGTGTAAAAACCTAAATGAAACTAGTTAATATATAAAGATCATTTAGGGGTAAAAGATAACGCGTTAGAAAAAAATGTTTCCCCACAAAAGATGCATAATTTTTAGCGTAGAAAATATGTTTTCAGATTTTCAAAAATTACTCAATTTTCCAGATTTTGGAAGGGCTGTACGGGTGGTCTGGAACATCCTATTATACATGCATATGTATATTTTTGAGTATCTTATCGTCATGTATTGAACACGTTTTCAGGAGCACTATCACCAATGCCAGCTGTAAATACTTTTGCTCTCTATGCATCTTTATCCATTCTGATCAACTTCCTTTTACAAATAACAGCTTTCGTTTGTCTATTATCTCTGGATGCGCAAAGATTTGAGGTAAATGCCTGATTGTTGCGAAATAATTTTATACAATGACCTAACGACATGTTCTAATATTTTAGAAGAGACTGTTGGATGTCTTTTGTTGCGTAAAAATCGACAAAGAGAATTTTATAGAGGAAGAAAGCTTCAACCTTATGCACACGATCTTTAAACGTTTTTATACGCCTACTCTTATGACAACGCCTTGTAGAATAATTGTGTTAATTGTGTTTTCCGTTGCTCTAATCACACATGCTACAGTATTGCCACAAGTCAGTATTGGCCTGGATCAAAAGCTTTCTATGCCTGAAGATTCTTACGTCTTTAAATATTTTGAGGTAATTTTAAATAAATGTAATAATGATGACATATTAATAAGAGTAAATGATGCAGATAGTTAAATATTTGATGCAACATGATTAAAGATTCTACTATTTTCAGTTTATGGAAGATCTTCTGTCGATGGGACCACCTGTTTATTTTATAGTAACTCCTGGACTTGATTATAGTAAGACGGAAGTGCAAAATATAATATGCGGTGGTTTCCAATGTAATAGCGATTCGTTGTATTCGCAGATCTATGCAGCAGCTAGGAAACCTGAGGTGTATGTATTCATACAAAGTATTTTTATAATTTATACAAGGTGTTCCAGAAAAAGTGTTAGAGCCGAAGAGATATGATTCTGTAAGTGTTTCTGAACAACAATTTCCTTTGCCAAAATGCCACGTGAAGCCAACCTACCCGTAGCTACGCGCGCTCTCATTGATCAGTGTTTTTCGTTAATAATTCAAAAACCATGGCTCACTTTGCATTTCGCCAAAGGAAATTGTTCAGAAACACCTCCAGAATCACCCCTTTTCGGCTCTAACACTTTTTCTGGGACACCCTGTACGTACAAGTATTCATCATATTCTGCAAACTCTACACTTATTTATCTACTTTTCATAACTTCATACACGTGCATTGCCTATGTATTTCAGAATGATTACTAATATTAATTGAATGCTGATTTTATAATTGTAGATCCTATTTGTCGAAAGCAGCTTCGTCGTGGATGGACGATTACATGGACTTTGTGTCAATTCGTTCATGTTGTAAGGAGTCGAATAATGGCTCATTCTGTCCCCATACAGATTGTATGTAATCGCTAATTTTCTCAATTTTCACAAAATCAATTTATCCAATCGAAATTAAGCTACATCGCGTGTATGTTATACCTTTTTTATTCCAGATACATGCGGAGAGTGCAACGTTACTCTTGACGGGATGCGACCAGATGCAAGAAGTTTTCGAAAGTATTTATCATACTTCATTCAGGATGTTCCAGACAACAATTGCCCGAAAGCTGGCCGAGCTGCATATAAAGATGTAAAATCTTTCTTTCTTCTCTTATTACATGCCTATTTTTACATAGGAATCCTAAATATATTATAGTATCTAACATCGTTCTTTGCGGACTTTTAGGCCTTACGTTATACTACAAACGTACACGGACTAACGGATGTTCAAGGCAGTTACTTTATGGGCTATCATACTCCGTTAAAGAGACAATCGGATTGGTACGAATCACTAAGACTTGCTAGAGAAATCGCCGACAACATAACAGTTATGATAAATGAGAAAAAGTTAACAAACGAGGAAATAACTGTGTTTCCATATAGGTTTGTATTATCGATTATATAATATTTAATAATGCATATACAGGGTGTCTGATAAAATTATCCAGAAAAAATTAAGGACACTCTATTCTATGTATGTATAATAATGTACAAATAAGTGGAGCATTGTATTACTTTTTTTCAGCGTGTTTTATGTTTATTATGAACAATATCTCACTGTCTGGAAAGAGACATTAGTGTCATTGGGTTTGTCTCTCAGTGTCATCATGGTAGTAACTATTATTCTAACAGGGTTATCAATATTTTCCGCACTGATAGTATTACTAACAGTACTTATGATAATTATCAATTTGGGAGGACTCATGTATTGGTGGAATATTCAATTAAACGCGGTCTCCCTCGTCAATTTAATAATGGTATAGTACATTTTAAGAAATCATACGTTATAGAAAAAAAAATTATTTGTTAGCTTTTTCCTCATCAGCCACAGAAAGGAAAATAAATCAGACTTCAATTCTTACAGGCTACTGGTATATCCGTAGAGTTTTGCAGTCATATTATACATTATTATTTAAAGTCCACGCGAAATACGAGGCTTGATCGTGCCACCGATACGCTTAATTTAATAGGGAGTTCGGTACGTCTATTAATGTAGCTAATTACTAAACATAATTTTTCCATTTATGTATACGTATATAGTTTAACAGACATTTTTTATCACTACAGGTGTTCTCTGGTATCACACTCACTAAAATTATTGGAATTGTGATACTAGCATTTTCTAAAACTCAAATCATTCAAGTATTTTACTTCCGAATGTATCTGGGAATTGTACTTTTCGGTGCTCTGCACGGTTTAATATTTTTACCAGTACTATTAAGTATTATAGGTAAGAAAACGAAATTCATGTCCCCCTATGTAACATCGCTTATAAGCGTATGAAAATGATTGATTAATTAAATTATAGGGCCGACAAGATGAAAGTGAAACATTCGTAACCAACAATAAAAGAAAGCTAGAACGAAAGGTTTAATTAACGACTGATAGAAAATTATGTATGTTACTGATAGAAAATGATGTGTTATGTATATGTAAATTAAATATGTAATAAATAATAATGTATTTCTGTATAACGACCTCTCCTTAATCACTCACGAATGAATTAAAAAGGAAAATACTAAATAAAGTGCACATGCTAATAAAAATACCAAAGTAAAGTTGCTATGAAATCACTTACCTCATTGTGAAAGAATTAGCTCTCGGAATGTCAACCAACCACATGTGATATGACATGTCAATTAATTCGCCGCATATAACTTCAATTGTTTAGCAATATAAGAGTAACGCGATTCTAACAATCTACTAACAACGTGGTATTAACAAGTGTATAAAATTTATTTTCTCGGTTATTAAAATGTGATCATGAGATCTTAAAACATGTTTTTCCGTAGCGAAAAATAAAAAACTTTTTCATTATCATATAATACCGGAAGAAAATATATACATATTTGTTATGGCATACGAATCGAGATCGGAAGAGTTGACTACCGCGCCGTTTGTATCTTAACTCTACAGATGCAACAGAGGAAGACTAATATTCTGCTTTCTCTCTATCAACAATATCTCAACTACCCCACTCGTCAGTCTTTAAGAAATAGTGAGAAATGAGAGAGTAATAAAATCTGATAAAATCCACCAATCTTCTAAATAAAACTTATGTTTCACTGTTGCTCAACACACAATGTTGTGATCAAACTCTTCAGAACTTCGCTTCAACGTCTTACTTCACCTTACTACCAGGGTTGCCGTATGGAGCTTACTACACCTACTTCAGTCAGTGGCCTGCAGCGCCTGCAGTGGTGCAAGTGCAGTGGCCTGTCCGTTGTATTTGTCTTTGTCCACACACACACATACACCATACACCCACATAGACCGCGCAGTCGTCGTTAAGTACAGTCATGTTATGAGTACAGTCCACGCTTTGGAATTGAAATGACAGAAGAATAAGTCTTCATTCCTTAGTAAACTAAAATAAGCATTTTCATGATAAATAACTAATCTTGTATCACGATGTCAAAAGCAAAAGTGTCTGCAGAGTGGAGGAAACGCGTAAGGTCGGAATATATGCGTTTACGACAAATGAAACGGTATAAACGCGCAGATGAGGTGAAAATAGCTTGGAATCAGAATCGTAAGGTTATGTCCGGTTAGTATGTCTACATTTCTTTCGCGGTAAAAGTAAAATCTCATTTCTCCTACTCTTTCGTCTTTTTTAAGAACAACTATCGACTGAACAAAAACGATGGGCAGATGGAAAAGCGATGTGGCTTGCCATGCAAGATATACCACCACATGTATCTTGCATGAAGAAGGCAGAAATTACCAGTTCAGATGGTGATGTACAAACTTGTCCTGTTAAAATTATAAATGCAGTGACTCCTATACCGACTATGTATACTTGGGCTCCAATACAACAGAATTTCATGGTTGAAGATGAGACTGTGTTGCACAATATACCCTATATGGGCGATGAAATTTTAGATCAAGATGGCACATTTATTGAAGAATTAATAAAGAATTACGATGGAAAAGTATGTACCATCCATAAAATGAGAAGTTCATTTCATCGAGCAATTTGAAGAACTAAGTATTTCTGTTGGTTGTAGGTACACGGAGACAGAGAATCTGGTTTCATGGATGATTCAATTTTTGTTGACCTAGTGAATGCTCTGATACAATATGAGAAAGAGGATAAAGAAAGGGAACAAACAAAAAAAGGAAGGGAGAAAGATGATGATAGAGACAAGGATAGAAAGGACAACTTGAAAATGGACATGAGAACTGAGAATGTTAAATCTGAAATATGTCCATTTCCTTCTATGCACATATTTAATGTTAGTGGAGCATGATGCGAAACATTAATTCATGATGCTTGAAATGTTCATTCAAAACAAATGTTAACTTGTACATACTAATCTCTAGGCAATATCTAGTATATTTCCCAACAAAGGAAGACCAGAAGAATTGAAGGAGAAGTATATAGAATTAACCGAGAGGTCTGACCCGAATGTTCTTCCGCCAGAATGTACGCCAAATATCGACGGCGTAAATGCAAAGAGCGTGCCGAGGGAACAAACCATGCATTCCTTTCATACTTTATTCTGCAGGAGATGCTTCAAATATGACTGTTTTCTTCATCGTGAGTATAAGAATAACACATAAAACACTATTTTATTTATAGAGATTGATACTGATTATTAAATAAAATTTAATTACGCTATACTATGGTGTATCCCTGTTTCAATCTAACCTTCTGTTAATGACAGTCATTTATGAATCGTGATTTATTGTAGCAGCCAGGGGAGAGTCGCCGCCAGGTAAAGACAACACTGTATACAATCATACATGAACGAACGCTTCTTTTTTTTTGTTTAGCATGGAGACAGCATCAAGGGCACATCCACGATCATGTTTTGTTCAGCGTTCGACGCTGCGTCTACATATTAAATCTTACACATATCATAAATGATGTTTTCATTTAGAAGTAGGTTCACACTGAATTTAAATTGTTACTTCTAGGTCTTCAAGTCTGTCATCCAGGACCAAACTTGCAAAAACGGAAGGGACCTGATCTGAAGCCATTTGCCGAGCCATGTGGGGCAGCATGTTACATGCATTTGGTAAAAAACCAAATTAACGATAGACAGTGTCAGGGAAAGTAATAAATGATATGTATTAAATTCCAAATATTTTTATAGGAGGGAATGAAAGAAAAGCTTGCTGCGCAAGCGGCTGATATAAAGGAAGATGAAAGCGATGAGAAACGTGGAGGACCCAGAAAAGTACGGAAACAAGCAAGCGTAGATTCTGGGAACGAAGCGAGTAGTGAAGATAGCAATGATAGTAATAAATATAGCCAAGGAGGCAGTTGTCAAGGTAATAATCAATCGACCTTTCTCTTTTCACTTTTTTCAAGGAGGATATCTCACGTTTAAATACATCGAAATTTGAATAGATTCGTACGACATTACGTCAGATTTTAAACAAAACGTCAACAAAGAGTTAAAAATTGAGGATTCCATGGAAGATCAAACTCAACCAGAGAATCAAACGCCATTTACGCTTTTGGGTCTCGATAAACGAGTACAGACTGAGAGTGAAGTTTCTTGGACGGGTTCGGAGCAAAGTTTATTTCGAGCACTTCATAAAGCTCTTCCTGGTAATCCTTGCGCGTTAGCGCAAATACTGCTAACTAAAACTTGTCAAGAAGTATATGAATTTGCTCAGAAGGAAGCATCTGATATACCAGCGATCGAAAATTTGAAAGACTTTACACCACCGCGAAAGAAGAAGAAGAAACATCGTCTTTGGTCAATGCATTGTAGAAAGATACAATTGAAAAAGGATTCTGGTAATTATCTTCAGATTTATGGTATATATTCTCCATATAAAACTATCATGCCAATATATTCTTTATTTTCAAGGTGCCAATCATGTCCACAATTTCGCACCTTGCGACCATCCAGGAAGGCCATGTGACAATTCGTGTCCATGCATACAAGCTCAAAACTTCTGCGAGAAGTTTTGTCAATGCAGTAGCGAATGTCAAAATCGTTTTCCAGGATGTAGATGTAAAGCTCAATGCAATACGAAGCAGTGTCCTTGTTATTTAGCCGTAAGGGAATGCGATCCAGATTTGTGCCAAACCTGTGGCGCAGATCAGTTCCACATTACCAAAATATCGTGCAAGAACGTTAGCGTTCAACGCGGTCTTCGTACGTAACAGTCCAGATTTTGTAATCTCTCGAATCATAATGATCTAATTACTCGAATGAACGTGTTACATATTCAGATAAACATCTTCTGATGGCACCATCCGATGTGGCTGGTTGGGGAATATTTCTTAAAGAATCTGCCGCGAAGAACGAATTCATATCGGAATATTGTGGTGAAATTATAAGTCAGGATGAAGCTGACAGACGTGGCAAAGTCTATGATAAGTACATGTGCAGTTTCCTTTTCAATCTTAATAATGGTAAGTATAATTGCATATTTTATAACGCGGAGAAAACTTTACTGATTAATGCATTTCAATCTTCAGACTTCGTAGTGGACGCTACGCGGAAAGGAAATAAAATAAGATTTGCAAATCATTCAATAAATCCCAATTGCTACGCAAAAGTAATGATGGTAAATGGAGATCATAGGATCGGCATCTTTGCGAAGAGAGCTATTCAACCAGGCGAAGAATTATTTTTCGATTACAGGTAAGTTTGATGATTTTAGTACGCATCGTATTTTCTATCTCACAAAATTTATACACATTTCTTTTGCTCATACAGATATGGACCGACAGAGCAATTAAAGTTCGTGGGAATCGAACGAGAAATGGAGTTTTTATAATGTGGTTTCATGTAAATAAATGCGAAAAAATCATATATCCATATTGAGTTTATGACATAAGTTCATTGCATTTATGTTATATTTTAATAATTAAAAATGTTCTTATATTATATATTTATTTCTTGATAACATCAAATTAATAAAAAGTATTTAAAAAAAGAAATAGCTGTATTATTTCGTACACCTTCCTCCTTTAATTTAGTTCAACTTATAAAACACAATTATACTTTTAGTATGTTGGGTGGCATGTATATAAATTGTGTAAACTGAAGAGGCAGTGCGAAACTGATGCAACTAGATTTTAATCGTCAATGTAAATGTCAGAAGTTCGCGATAGAGTTACCCTAAACGAATCATAGGTAAGCTTTGCGATAAACTTGGCTCATAATTCAGCCACCAGTTGCAATCCTTGCATCCGCGGGAGTGGTTGCTCCTACGATTTGAGTGCGCGTCGCAATCGCACGTAATCTGTGTTCAATTAAATATTCTATTACAACGAAGCGCTTTAAGAAGTGAATTCTTAACTACTGTTATAAATATAAAGAAACATGTGACTGATAAAAACGGTGCTTATATCGATCCAATAGACCTGGATTTGTCTTTCACCCCCGCCATCCGCGCCTTGACACAGTAAAGGATTTGACAAGGTAAAATCCTGGTAAAACAACAAACGCGTTATTAGTGAACAAGTCTTCCCTCTCTAATTGATTCGTATTAAAAAAATTTATAAGTCAGGAAAAAATTAAAAGAGAATACCGTGACTGATTAATTAAAAGTGAAAAGAAATCGAAGGCATTTTTAATAATTAATGACAGAGAAACTGGAGCAATCGGGACAGTCAAAATTGGAAACGGAGACGGAGTATTTCACCGGTGTTATGACAGAAGAAGGTAAAATATTCGGTAGTTACTTTTTTATAAGATCAGTTAATGCTCTTTTTACAATTTGTAGAAAATTGTTAAAAATATTATATTTTACAAACGATATACAAATACAGATAAGAATATATTTTTAAACGAGGGATTTTAATAAAAATAGATGTGTATTTAACTGAAAACAGTTCTTCAAAAATTACGAATGAAATATTAAAAAAGAATTTACATACATTACGAACGACGCTCGGAGTTACCCGAAGTATTTGTGAATCGAATTACATCTGTATTTTACGCGACGTGATCTTGAACCGTAGTTAGTAATAATTGACGTTGACCTAATCATGAATATGTGACTGATCCTTATCATGCGCGAACTAGGTAATGAACTAGCGGCTGAATGAAATTCTGTTCTGCAACATTTGATTCGGCTTAACACGAAAGAAACGTTACACGTGGCAATTATGGATGGCTACAAGAAAAAGTCAAATAAATTTTCTGACGGGATAGATCGAAAATAGTTCGCGTTGGCAAACGGCCAATTCCCGACGCTAAAAGTGCGCCGCGAAGTGCCATAAATTCGTTGTCTATTTCCTGCTTCTTGCCATTTAATAAGAATAAACATATCATTTATACATTTTCATTAATGATAATTCCTCAACCTAATCTCCACAGCTAGGAATTTTAAACGATGGTTTCAATGATAATTCAATAAAATGGCCCGCTTTTGAAGGCAGTCCTACATAAAATACATTTCAAAAGTTAGTTCAGAACATAAAATTAGTTCGCTGCTTTTCAAAAAGTAGAGAATCGAAAAAATGTTAATTAATGTTTTTATTTAACGCGATTTCACAAAGAATGCATATTTTAGAAGAACATGTTGCGAAGGAAGTTGACGTCAAAGAATTGGAACAACTTCGAAGCAAATATGAGGGGAAATTGACAGCATCCCTTTATGCTGGTACTCTATTCATCGCTGTCGTTGCGTTGATTTTCGCTCTAGGAGTTCTCTATATTAACAATTATCAGGTACTTGCATTAATTGTCATACAATGCTCGCATCTTGGCCCTTTTTTATCTATATTTTAATTTTTCTAAATACTTCATCGCAAAAGAAACGAATTAACAATATTCATGATCATTTTTACTACTCCCACTATAATTTCCTTTATTTAAAAATTTGGACTGATGAAATTAAAGAAATGTGGTTTAAAAGCGGACTTTTGTCACTGTAACGGTGCCAACAGAGTGCATGGGTCTAATCTAAAATCGCGTACATGAATAACACGATGGAAAATCGAGAGCGATTAAAATTGCCCGGTCGAGATGATCGAATTGAAATAAAATATTCGGTTTCCACTTTCTTGCAGGATTTACAGAGAGTGATAGTGCCTATATCAGTTTTGACAACTTTGTTACCGTTGTCGTTGAGTTTACTACTTGTTACGCAGCTACCATCGACTTTAACATCCGCCAGGACAAGGCTTATCATAGGCTTCATTGCTTCCGGTATATTAGGGGTCGGAATTTTGATTATTCATGCCTCGATACCCCTGTTTGTCACGGTGTTAGCAATGATCGCCGTTTTACCGCGGGACACTCGACAGAAGCCGACGATTCTTGCTATCGTATTGATTACCGTTCACTTAAGCGGACGATTCTTCCTCCTCGATCACTCGAGCTATTATCAGATAGTAGAGGTATACATGTCATTGGTTTGTCATTTTTTCCTCTTTGTTTTCCCTTCGATTTACCTGTTCTCACACTTCTTTGTTTGCCAGACATGCAGTGAGGTAGTCTTTCTATTCGTCGCGGTTTTATCGGGCTCGTATTACAGCGTTTTAACTGCGAGAGCGCATAACAGAACGTTTTCTAGAACGAAAACTGTGATTGAGTCCAGAATAAAATTAGAATGCGAAAGAGAACAGCAGGAACAATTATTGCTGAGCGTTATACCAGCTTATATAGCCGCCGAGGTAAGCTTTTAATTACGCAAAATAGAAAATTGTACTTTCATAAATTTTAATATTGAAACTATTGAAGAAAGTTGAGAATTGTCGAGCACCATCTGAAAATTGCACGTATCACATTTTGCCAGTTAATCATAGAAATGTATCAACAATCTACGTTGGAATGTTGAAACAGGTGAAGAGAAGTATCATGTTGAAGATGGCAGACGCATGCCAGGAAGCTAGCATGCACAAGCAAACCAGATTCCATGAAATGTACGTGCAACGACATAACAACGTTAGGTACGGTAAAAGATTAAGTAGCATTTGAAGAATTAAAGCGAATCGAGTTACATAGCTCTTTTTCAGTATTCTATACGCGGACATTGTAAATTTTACACCATTATCGGAACAATTGTCAGCTTCGGACTTGGTGAAAACGTTAAACGAATTATTCGGAAGATTCGACCAAATTGCTCAGGTAATTGAGGACTTTGATACGGAGAACGGATATGACCGATCCGGTTACAAGATCTTCAATTGTATTTTCTGTCGGAATTGAAATTTACGAATGAAAACGTTTTTTTAGGATAATCAATGCATGAGAATCAAGATCCTGGGTGATTGTTACTACTGCGTTTCAGGATTGCCGATATCTCGCCCGAATCACGCGTACAACTGCGTAAACATGGGATTGCAAATGATAGATGCGATCAGGTAAAGGGAGGGGCGTTACGTCGCTTTGAGCTTGTAAGCCTAATTTTTCTCTGAAATAATGGAAGACAGATTTCCGATTTGCTAGATTCGTTCGCGAGGCGACAGGCTTCAACGTGGACATGCGAATAGGGATACATACTGGGAATGTTCTATGCGGTGTTCTCGGTCTACGAAAGTGGCAATTCGACGTATGGAGCGACGATGTGACGCTGGCAAATCACATGGAAAGCGGTGGTCTACCGGGGTAATTTATTTAAGCGCGAATAAGCACGGATCACACCGTTTCGATCGTTTGAATGCCTCTTTTGCCTCGTTTCGAATAGACTTTCTTCCTTCAAGGAGAGTGCATATAACTAAAGCTACCCTACTACAACTTGGTGACAATTTCGAAGTCGAACCTGGCGACGGAGGCTCGCGAGAAAGTTATCTCGCTAAACATAACATTGAAACATTTTTAATAGTACCAAGAGAGGTAAGATCTCTTACTCAACGACAGTGAGAACAATTAATATATCATTTAACGAGCTAAAAATGATAATGTAAAAAACATAATTACGCGTGTACATATACAAATGTTAGAAATTGTATTCGTGACAAAGGTATGTACGAAGCGCAATGATTTTTCTCGTGTTGTGATAGAAATCCAGACGAGAGAATCAAGCAGATGATAGCGGTGAGCGCCTACGCGGCCCTGGCTCCATACCGTCGAGGTGAACATGGCACATCGTTTAGTTTAATTTACATTATTTCTGTTGACTATAAGCAATCGATCGAAAAGCAATCATAGAGATTAATCGAAGATAAAAATGCAAAAAGAATTACATTTCTTGAGATACGCGCGAGTGCTACGTTATTAAAAGCGTATTGATTCCAAAATTAGTATTCAATATCTGAACGCGTATCGCATAATACAATTCCAGCTATCTCTGAATCTTTGAATAGAAATAGGAATTAAATCTTCAATCTAATCTTGCTGACACACGATTGGAGGCTGAAGTAATTCACCCTTTATGGCATGCTACCGCAATCAGAAAATCTGTACAATCCTAATTAGATACTATTTACACCTACACAGTGTTTAACTTCTAATTTCCAAATTTTCCTAATTGCGCTCGAAAAAAAAATAAGAAAAGAGAGAGAGAGGAGAAAGTACATGTTTTAAAATAACTTTTATCTCTATCTTTAAATAGATCAAGACCAAGCAGTAAAATGACCAAATATGTTGAATGTTGGGGCGCCGATAAACCCTTCGCTAATATAGCAGAGGCCACGCTTGCCAAAAATATTGGCCTAACGGTAAATCTAAGTGCTGTGAAATTAATCTTGTAAATATGCTTCAAATAGCGATATTAAATTAACTAAATTAATTAGATACGCTTGTACGAGAAGTATTCTATATTTTATTCGAATATTTCGTTTCTTCCAGAGCATCGCCATAATTGAATCGAATCTTCTGACAAACAGTAATTCTAGTTGTCTCCTCGGAATAAAGTGAGTTATCTTTTCTTTCTCTTCTTACATTTTCTAAATCCAGTTCATTTAATCGGCGCTATACGTATATGTACGTGCGCGTTTCCGTTCGAACGCAACAGACAATGGTATCAGGGGAACGAGGGCATGTCACCTCTTACATATCGGTTTAATGATCAAAACCAAGAACTTCGATACCGCCAACAGACCGACGAACAATACCCTTGGTATCTTCTCGCATCTACTATCATCTACTTCATGATATTTGGCATTGATGTATTGTATTCACCAAGGTAAGGAAAATTCATTATTATCCCTCTCACTTATCCCGATCAAACTTTCGATCAGATTAAGTAACATTTTTTTTAAGGATAAAATTTGATTAAGTTATATCGATTTCTCATAAGAAACGATTTTTTATGAAACGAATTTTCGTTATAGGAGCATCACGGTGTACAGTTGTTTTTTACCCGGTTTAGCATTCTTCTCGATCATTTCTGTACTATCTTGGTTAACTAATAAAGGGAAAACCGAAGACGATGGTGACCAGTATCAGCTCGTTTTAAGCAGAGGAATCAGAATAACGGTGTACATGATCACAGTAATTCTGGCCGTTGCTTCGTGTATCATTACAATTAGTTTAGTCGATTTCGACCAGACAGACGACTACGATGTGATCGTACCAGTATGTATGCGTAAAAAAAATAACTGAATACATATTTATTGAATAATACATAACTCTAAGCAACCACCTTTTATGTTAGTTCCACGTGTACACTGCAGTGATGTCCCTGGTTGTGGGTTGGGCGCATTTACGTATCGACTTCTTATTAAAATTCTGTTCGATGTTTATTTCGGTAACGAGCTTCGTTGTTGCGTTTTCGCAATCGTCAATCGCACGACTGCATCATGACGTTGAAAATGAGTAAATACCGAGTGTTCTTTAAATATAGAGAAACTAAGGGATCTTAAATAACAAACATTCTGACACGATTATTATTTTGTAGACATTATCGCATTAATTATTACTTTCAAATCGGTTGTCTGCTCGCGCTTGTCTGTCTAATACTCCATATTTTAGACAGACAAATCGAATATACCTCAAGAACAGATTTTTTATGGCAGAATAAATTGAAAATAGAACAAGACGAAGTGGAAACTATGAGAGGTATTAATAAGATTCTTCTTGAGAACATACTTCCTGCTCACGTGGCTGAGAACTTTTTAACACATGCCAGAGCGACTCAGGTGACGAACCCGATATGACAGTTACAATTTTTTTTTCGGGTGGGGGATTATACAACATACTATCCAAAGAATTCCGACGATCTGTAATAAACTTATACAATTTTTCGTAGGATCTTTATCATGAGAGATACAGTAGTATCGCCGTAATGTTTGCATCCATTCCAAATTACAAGGAGTTCTATGATGAAACTGACATCAATAAACAGGGATTAGAATGCCTCAGACTTTTAAATGAGATTATCTGCGACTTTGATAAATTGTTGCTTAAACCAAAATTTTCCGGAATCGAGAAAATTAAAACTATTGGCAGTACTTATATGATAGCCTCGGGGCTTAGTCCAGGAAAAGAAGATACTGACAAAAATGTAGAAACATACAAGAATCGGTTCTAAACAGAGAGTGTCCCAAAACTAATATTAGGCCCAAAAAGGGATGAACGGTGATGCCGAACAACTTTTTTCTTTGCCAAAATATAAGCTGAGGCTATGTTTTTTTAATTATTAACGAAAAACGCTGACCAATGAGAGCACTGCGTAAAGTCTGATTGTGAGCCGAGTACGAATATTAGCTTCGATGGTGACGTTCTTTTTGAGCCTAACATTAATTCTTGGACACCCTGTATATACCATTACATTTGAAAATGTTGATTAATAGCTTCTTAATTTTTAGGATCTTACGAGACAGCAAGATCACAATATAATCATTCTTGTCGAGTTCGCTCTTGCTCTAATGACAATTCTGGATCAAATTAATAAAGAATCTTTTCAAAGATTTAAATTAAGGATAGGTGAGTAATTTTACAGAGATTTTAATGAGCGGTCTATCGTAAAATGGTCGAAGCAGACGGGGAGAAGGAACAAGAATGATGATAGGTAAAATATATGTATAAAGTGGAAAAAATTTCTTTTGACAAGGTTTAAATCATGGACCTGTGATAGCGGGTGTAATTGGAGCACAGAAGCCTCAGTATGACATTTGGGGTAATACCGTAAACGTAGCATCAAGGATGGATAGTTGCGGTGAAATGGGAAAAATTCAAGTTACCGAAGACACGGCTAAGGTTCTAATCGCTGCCGGATATGAACTGACGTGCCGAGGGCCTACTTACGTGAAAGGAAAAGGAACTTTGACAACGTATTTCATGAAAACACCGTTCGATGACAAGGAGGAAAATTTTTAATATAAGAATCTACGGACCAATTAGATGTTAAAACGAAAATACTTTTCAATATGGAGTTATGAAAAAAAATTCGACTGTAATTAAAATATATTTTCTTCTCAGATTAAACATTTAGAATACATCTTGCGTATACGATGAAAAGATAAAAATATGCAAAAGAAAAAAATTACAGATAACAATAACCTTGATTTTGGGAACACCATTCAGGTTCTAGACTTTCAGCAGCGATTCCTCCTTTTACGAGACGTTCTCTGTGTTTAAGCATTCTTTGCTCAGCATGGATCCAAGTTGAACTTGGCTCTGACCACAACCGCTCTCCAAGTGCTGCAGCTCTGGGCCAAATTTTAGCATCCACGCTCGCGCTATCCGCTTGCTCTGTCCAGAGTGCAGCTTCGCCTCCTATTACAAAATTATACCGACGCATATAAATTTAGTACGATTCGAATAAAATAAACAATACGTTTCTATTTAAAGCAAATAGTTCACCTAAAACGAGGTTCCTTTTATTTCCAAGGCCATGTGATTTCACTATTTGTAGAGGAGAATTGTCATAAATAGCCTGCCATCCTTTGTAAGGGCTGCACCAATTATTACCTTCCCCAATCCAAGCAGAAAAACTAAAAAAATTAACAATACCTATTAAATAGAGACTAAAAACTTTCTGAACAATCTAATATTTAATATTTTAATTACCAACCCGCAATCTAGATAGAGAGCGTCGTAATTCGAGAAAATTACTTTGAAATTGTTTTGCAATAATCTGTCGATAGTCGAATCGCTCTTAGATGTCCATATTTGAATAATATACTTCGAAGAATTTAAATGCTTAATATTTTCTTCGTTAGTTAATCCGCTAGTCCATAAAATGACAGGCATTTCTTTTCCATCATTAGCTAGCATCAATTTTTTTAACGCATTCATTTGGAAATGATTCCAAAGCATGTAAAAACTTGAATCTGATAAATCCCAGTTTCTTTTTTGCATCCAATCTTTAATAGCCTCCGAAGATCTCCAACAGTTTATGTTTACCTCGTCCCCACCCATGTGAAATATGTCTGGTTGAAAATCGTGTAACATGTCTTTGTACAATCCTTCGAGGATTTCGTATACTTTATCACTAGTTGGGTTCAATTGACCACATGGCGGTTCAACGCAATAATTCTTCCAGGGTTCCGCTTTAAAACAGACGACAGAATCGTTTCCTACCTAAAGGTGATTTAAGTTGTAAAAATTCAAGTTTTCTCGTCTTCTGTTTCTTCTCCATTTAAGTAAGAAATATCTAAATATTTCACTTCGTTAAAGAAAAGATGATCACTGAAGAGTAAGCGAAAAACAAAAAAAAACTCAAATACCCATTGCCATCCTTCTCCCACGTGCGCTGGGGCATCGAACTCTGGTAGTATCCTAACACCGCGAATAAGGCCGTATTCAACGATTTCTTTCACATCGTCATGATCGTAAATCTTGTCAAATGCGTAGGAACCGAATTTTGAAAATAACGGCCACGTTTTGCTAACATAGGGAAAGCTGTGTGAGTCGGTGATGTGCCAATGTAAAGTATTCAACTTGGACATAGCCATGCCGTCGATAGTTCGCAATATCGTTGATTTATCGACAAAATTTCGACTGGTGTCCAATAACAATCCACGGTAAGGATACACCGGCCCATCGACGATCGAAATTTCGCTTGGAATCTGAATTTCATTTCGTAGATCGTCGAAGACGATCATTTGACTCAACGTTTCCAATGCATGTCGTGCACCAAAGTATGAGTTAGCAGTAATCGTTGCTTCCAAATGCTAAAATGTACGTGTAGGTGCAATAAGGGCAAAACAAACGATAAAGAGCTTAAACTTGTGGAATAAAATGTAAGCATGAATGGAGAAATATAAAAGGATTTCAGATTTCTTAGCGGGCCGGAAAAAGGAGAATAAGCATTAAACTAGATGCACAGAATGTATTACAAAATTTTTGATATTACAGAAAACAATAAATAATTTTCTTCTAATAACTGAATTATGAAAAAATTATATATCTTTAAGTATCTAAAAGGCTTAAAATGGCGTGAGTACATCTTCTATTCGAGACGCGTCACCTCGAAAAATTAGATGTGGAACCTGTTTCGAAATGCCAAACCAGCTTAGTATAAAATCCGTAAAGATTATCAGCTAACACGTTTGCTTCCACTACTTCACCACAAACCTCTCTAGTATTCGAGAATCACGACGCTGTTAAGTTGACTCATAAATAATTATAATGTAGCTAGCAGAGTTACGAGATATTCCAAATACAATACAGCAGATTAAGAAATGTCAGAAGTAAGCGTAGGATTTATTAATTTCTAAATTTATTATACAATTAGAATACAGATTGAGAAGAATGAAAAGTGGTATGACAATGTTAGCGCACTTACTGTCTCGTCTAACTTCGTCACTGTCAAGGTATAACTTTCATCCGTGTTCAATGTCAATCTGATGTTCTTGGTTTCTTGAATACCGGTGCATCGAATATTCATACTTGCGCCACCGACTACAGCTGATTTACTCTTCAGCTTATTTCTCAATAAAAGCAAATTTCTTTCAAGCAAATAACTAACTTGAGACCCACTATTATATGAGTCGATTAATAGAATGTTTTTTGGATCAATTTTAATCATATTGTTACTCAAAGATAAGTGACCAGTTGGTCTCGGCCATAACACACTTGATGAGCCGCAATGTAATTCGCATACTTCCGACGATAATGGTGCAGTTACATTGTCTGTGTTTAATTCTTTTTTACAGAGGCCACCCTCGCACTTATAATGCCATGGCGAACTAGAGGCAAAAAGGATCAAACTTGGTGTGTGACTTTTTAACGATTAAATTGTTGCGAAGTGAAGGAATTGTAGATAACTTTCGAATTATATTAATCAGTAATGATTAATGGTTTGCTGAATTACCTTAATTTATCAGTAATCATTAGTACACAAAATATCTGTTACTGTTCTTATCAGTTCTTAAACTATGGATTTGCAATTTGAAGTTTCGTACAGAATACCGAAGAATTCCTATAAACACTGACCTTCGAAGAAATATTGAGATAAGATTCTGAACCTCCGGTACTAACATACACGTTACTACACGTAATTGAAAAATACCGCCATGTATTATATATCAGAGTGGAACGATATCAGAAAATCAAATCAATCTACTGCACTGCTTATACTTGTCGCTTTCACCGCGTCGCGTCAAGTTAAAATAGAACGAGCATTTCTCTTTTTCTTTTTATCATCTATAGAAACTGATCAGATGAAATAGTAATTGTAGCAATTTTTATGTCCAATTTATGATGTCGATACGAGTATAATTTGTTCTATTAAGAAATATAACATCATTATTGCGAGATACACACGTATACGAATTGAATTTATTTTTGACAACTGTATAAATATTATACATTGATAAGTCCATGTGCCAACAAAGAAATTTACGTACTGTAAAACACAGAGATGCATTTATATATCGTGATCAATGGGTTAATAAAACTGGTCAAGAAACGTTTGTTATTTCTGTGATGAAAATATGAAAATATTGACCAAGTGATTCATCCATCTTACCTATTGAGTAGTCCACTTGTTGCAACTCGAGCGATAAATATAATAAACAGCACAACGATCGTGTTCATTTTTCACGAACTTCTACACGTATATTCGTCTTTCGAATGACTGAATGCGACCACGACTATATTCGAATGATTTTGTTCTGCTAACCAGGTAAAGGTCGTGTCCATTTCGATTGGTCAGAGAAACGCGGGGAGGGAGTACAAAATTACTCTTAACACATATGCTACTAGAAGTAGCGTCCATATGTATATAGACAGTAGAAAACTCATAAAGAGAAATATTGTTAGATAAACTATATATATATATATATACTATCTACATCTATTATAAACTTTATCTGTATGCTGTCTTTTGCGTAGCACGGGATTGGTGACAACCTTTCTCCTTCAAATCGCTTACTGATGTTTCGCCTTCTCTCTCTACTGAGCCGAAGTTGAGCCGAGCTCG